TATATAGTAATACAAATTGAAATTTTAAATTTATATGTGTTTTGTATTTTGTTAAGTCATTTCGAGTTATCTCCAGCATATCCAAATTGTCTTGAACTGTAATAGCTGTGTCACCCAGTTTAATGGCAGAAAAGTAGCAGCTGCTGTGGGTTTGGTTAGCGGAATTGTTAATCTTAAATCTCAGAAGAAAAAATACCACAGATAATTTATTTATTTATTTGTTTGTTTGTTTGTTTTTTTGTTTGTTTGTTTCACCCAGAGCAATTGCTGAGGGACTGAAATTTGATTAAATTGTCTCTGAGTACAAAGAAGTTTTGCTCGCATTTGAAAAAAAACCATAAAGACGAACTTGGTGTCAGATAGCTTTGACTTCTGGTCGACTTAGTCCACTGACAACTAACCATCAGCTGTCTAACTAGATGGGTAGGCTGAAGCTAGTCCTTTAAGTGCAGGAGAGGGAGGAAAGTGGAACATTAAAAGTTGACCTCACAAATGACAGCTGTTGAAGCTCACGTTGCAGAGGGCAGGTTCCCAGAGTTTCCTTTCTCCTGTTCTATCAATTCCTACATCTAACAAAGGTAAAGCAGTCAGGAGCTGCAGCGAAGCCTCCCACTGCCATGGGCCTCCTGGGGCTCCCTGCTCTCTGCGACACATTAGGTCATGTCCTGGGGCTGCACTCATGTGAGCAGAGAGGTTCAGAGGGGTGTGTGGGCCACACAGCAGGGAGATAGGCTCCTTGTCCACCAAGTTGGGCTACAGGGCACTCCCCAGTGCTGCCAGGTCTTTTCCTTGTCTGGAAATCAACTGGTAAGATCCAGTTCAACTCTAATTTCTGTGTGTGGGCCAGAAGGGAGAGCAGATGACATGAAGGATAGACATGGCCCTTCCCACAGCCCCAAAATACTGTCCACTGAAGAGCAGTAATGCCATGGGTGCTTCCTCACTTAACCCCATTGCCTAAATCCCCTCTGCTCTGTCCCGCGGAGCAAATACCATGCAAGGACTGGCATGCATACAGTTGAACCCTTCCTTCAAAAACAGTGTGGCCTGACCCATCATGACGACCCATAATGCTGAATAGCTGATGATCCTTGCTAACTCTAGACTGTGTCCTGGCACTTTCTCAAAGAGTACCAGCCAGTGCTAGCAGAAACTCTGGACATTCACCAGGCAACATCCTGGGAAGCTGTGTCCTTCCCCCATTTCACTTCTTAGCCAGGGTGCAGCCCCATTTCCTGCTAATCTGTGCAGGTTCACTTTGCTCAGCAGCTCTGGCTGCCTGCAGCATCAGGCTTCCAGCACAGGCTGCTGCGTCCTTGTAGCATTTCTCCACGAAGCTGCAAAGCTGCTGGAGTGCTTAGCTTTGAAGGAGCTTTAGGCAGAGCACACTGGAGGATGTCTTACTCCAAGACTGGCTCAGCACCATCAAGGCACGCTAAGCAGCATGTTAAACCACCTTCCATGCTCATGGAGATGGGCCAGCATGAGTCTGAAGGACACGATCTGTTCCCGATTTTACCTCACAGAGAGAAACTCTTTCTTTCCTTACATAAGTGTCTGTACCAAACGGTTAGTTCATACAAAAGACTTAAATTTCTAGATAGAAATGTTTTGGAATATATAATTATATGCATGTAAATCTACATTCGTTTTACAAGCATGAGGACTTGATTTTTACAAAGTACTTTTACAAATGAAGTAAATTAAGCATCACCTTGGAAATGAGCATGTAGCTACCAAAATGAGAGATCCTGTTTCTCTACTACAGAGTACGCACAACCTGATTCAAACACTAGTGAGCAATAATGTTGTTAATCCTATTGCTACCTCACAAAGCTCCCAGTTACCCCAAGCAAAGGCTTGTAGGATAACCCGACCGAGAGCCCCGGGACAAACGGACACAACGACCAGCGTTCTGTGCCGTAAGCCATTTTCTTACAGCGTGACATTATCTTATCTAGTGTCAAAGCGTCCCACCCAGGAACCCAGGACCCCTCCCACTGTGCTCGCAGGCACCCCAGACCCCTCCTTGCGTGCACGCAGGCACAACCCAGAAGAATCCCACAAAGGCTTTCATGTTTCCAACCTGAAGTGTTACTATGGTATGTACTTGGGCACTGGCAAGACCATACTAAATCAGTTGGGCTGGGAGCTGGACTGGGTTTACTTGCTAGCAGGAGGTCTACAGGCTTGCTGTACAGGCTCTCAGGAGGCAGCTGGAGGCAGCAGTCGGGTCCACCCCTGAGCCTTCTCTCCTTAATGCTGACCCAAGGAGTTCCCTCAGCCTGCCCTTGTACGCCGTGTGCCCCAGGGCCACGCTGTCTTGAATGCCCTGGGCTGGGCACACTACACTACACACACTGCACACACATCAGTATCTTTCCTCTACTGGGAACACCCAGGGAAGGGGATGCAGCAGTACAGACGCAGTCGCTAAATTGTCCCCAAAGAAGAAAGTGGCTCTCTGTGATTTTTTATCACTTTCTTATTTTATTTTTCATTGCTCTTTATTGCCTGGTGTTGGAGGACCTCCTAATGAAGCTCTTCTTTGTTCTTCTCTGAATGAACAGTGACGCTGCGCTCCAGCACCTCTTCCCGGCAGACGAGAAGTCTTCTGCTTCTTCAGAGGAGCAGCTGTCTCCCTAACAGCTTGGATCTGCAGCTCTTCTTTGTGCTTTGCCATGGAAGGTGCGGCTTCCTCTTCAAGCAGCCATGGGGCAGCCTTCTTGTCCTCACACAGAGACATCACCGGGCTCCAGGTCCCAAGGTCCACCGTGGCTCTCTGAGGGGTTCCTTCTGCCACCCTGGTGCAGCATCCCAGAGGAAGCCAAGTCCCCTCTCGTCCACTCCTTGAGACTCCCTCCGTGCAGAAGAGATGACACCTCTGGACGAGGTGGGGGTGGGGGATGGAGGATGGGGGAAAGGGAAGGGAAGGGAAGGATGGCCGTGCTATGAGGCACGGCGGCCGGGCCGTGGATAAGGAGCTGGTGGTCTGCTCCTGCGGTGCCGCCGATGGATCTTGGCAGCTGGGAGCCCAGGCACATCGATCTCCATTGCCTCATCTGGAGGTGGATCCACCTCCATCAGGTCTTCATCCGGAGGCAGATCCACCTCCATGGGCTCCACAGCGCCGGGCACCGCTCCTATGCCACGACCGCCGGCCCTCTTCCACTTCCTCAGATAAGGCAGTGGCCTCATTCTCTTCGCTTTGAGGACTGCGTCCTCTTTCGACCCACGTAAGGGTGGGCAGCCTCCACTCCAGGTCCTCTTTCTTCCATCCATGATGGCTGTAAGAGGGCCTGGAAGCTCAGCGAGTGGCGGGCCCTGCGCAGGGGCCTTTTATAGGGCCCGGCACAATCCGGGGGGCAGATGCCACTGTGACATCAGGAAGCCTCTGTGACGGTGGCCAACGCATGGCCAGACGTGGCTGTGTTGGGAGAGGTGTCGGTGGCCTGAAAGACGCCCTCACGAGGCGAGGCAGGAGGAGGAGGGTCGGGGGGCAGAGGGCCCCTCTCCTGGGGATGGCTCTCCCTGGCCATTTTGCCTGCCAGAGAGACAGGCTGCCCCTCAGGCACAGGGCCTGCCCTCCAGCCCCCTCCTCATCCTGTGCCTGGGCTCCCTGTGCCACAAGACGCTGGCAGCAGTGTTTCTGGAGGGGCAGGGCCTCCACTACCCCCCTGCCACCGACCGGGCTCCCTGCGAGTGGCAGTGGCGCAGCCCCCCATGCTGACAGCAGCTGAGAGGGGGCAAAGCACCCAGACAGCCTGCAGATGGGCAAGGGAGGCACAGCCAGGTGCTGCCAGGTCTCCCAGCAGTCAATAAAAGCTCTGCTGACACTCAAGTGCTGTGGGAGCCCTTCTCAGGGGCCATCTCCCACACCCACCCCTGCCCCCAGAGCATGAAGAGGTGCCATCGCTTGTGCCCCGAGGCATGGGGGAGGAGAGCACCTGGTCTCTGCACTGCTGTGCCGCCACAACACGGGCAGTCTGTGGGAGGGCTGCCGAGGTCCTGGGGGCCTGGAGGTGGAGGGGTGGGGGGGGTCAGTCTGAGGTTCACCCTTGCTCTCTTCCCTAGTGTTCAAGAGAAACCTTCTCAACGTTTTTGTGTCTTCTCTGTTTCCTCGTTCAGAGGAAGAGCTCTCCTGTCTGGCTGGAAGACTCACAAGTAGCTCCTGACCGGGAGCCTTCAGGGTCATTTCTAGGGGGAAGCTCCTGCCTGCCTAAGACACCCAGTGCACACCCTAAGACACCTAGAGGAGGGGGTCTGGGGCACTGCCGCCCGTGGGGGACCCGTGCTGGAGCAGTTTGCTCCTGGGGGATTGATGGATGGGCCCTGTTGCACAGAGCCGTGTAGGAGCAGGTCTTTAAGAGCTGCTACCTGCGGGCAGCCCCCGCAGGCTCAGTTTGGGAAGGACGGCATCCTGTGGAAGGGACCCCACGGGGCGCAGGGGCAGGGAGTGACCGTGAGGGAGCAGTGGGGACGAAGTGTCATGGATTGACCACAGCCCCCATTGTCCTTACCCCTGCACTGCTTGGGAGGGATGAATGGGGGGGAAGGTGGTTTTAGTTTGCTTCACTTTCATATTCTCTGGTGTTCTGGTGTGCTAGTGACAGGCAATAAATTGCATTAATCTCCCTATGCCGAGTCTGGTTTGCCCATAACGACGCTTGGAGAGTGATCTCCTTCTCCTTATCCCTAGAGCCCTCCCCACCATATTTCTCCCCCGTTCCCGTTGAGCAGGAGGGAGCGGGAGCGTTCAGCTGCCCAACAAGGTACAACCACCACAGCAGCCTCTGCAGCATACCCAGGTTTTATCAAAAGACTACACAAGCAATAAAAAGCGTGCTCTTTGTTTCCCAGAGACTAGCGAGTGCTTTATCCTGATCCCGCGTGCCCTTCATGGTCCAGCAGCTGGACGCCCACCCAGGCGGGAGCCGGGCAAGGCGCCCCCGGGCCGGGCAGCCACCCCAGCGCCTCCCCTTCGGCTCCGGGCCCGCCTGCTGCCCGTAGCCAGGCCCCGGCCCCTCCCTGCCGACCGGCCGCGTTGCCCGGGCAGCCTCGGCCGAGCTGAGCCGGGGCGGTGAAGCGGCGGAGCCCCCCCCGGCCCCGGGGCCTTCCCCTCCGCGGAGACCTCGGGCAGCCAGGACGCGGGGGAGCGCTGCGCGGGGCGCCCTGCTGGAGCCGGGTAGACCTGGCGGCCCTCAGCGGGCCCTGCCACCCTCGGGCGTTAACGGCGTGTTACAGCAGAGCGGGTCACGCTCTTACTTTTGTTTTTGTTTTCTGCTTTTTCTTTGGTTAGGTTCGGATTCTTCTCCTTGGCCGGTTCCCGAGGACACATCAGCACACACAGGTATTCCTTCCTGAAGGTTTTCCTGCTAAGTCTCTAGCTTATCCTCAAAACGAAAGCGTGTGACCAATGTAGTAATTAAAAGTCTGCCCCCGATGCAAATTTGCTGTGCTGGAATGGCGAAGAGGCTGTACCCTGCACTCTGTACCCCTCTCAGCTTTCTCCCAGTCCTCGGGCACCTCCCCTCGTCTCCACAACTTCTCAGAGGTGATGGAGAGTGGCTTAGCCACGTCCTACAGCTCCCCCAGCACTCATGGGTGCATCCCGCCCAGACCTGTGGATGTCTAGGTATCACGTCTGCCTAAATGATATCTAACCCGATCCTCCTCAACCGAGGGAAAGCCTCCTTTCTCCAGACCTTCTCTGTTGTCTCCAGGACCAGGGATTCCTGAGGGCTGTGAATACTGAAGCAAATTTATACACGCTAAGTTAAGAAGTTAATCTGTACTGAAATGACAAGCGGTATTTAGTTGTCAACACAGGTGTTTTTCGCACTTGTGTATGGTTTGATTTGTCTGAACTCATTGTTCTACAAGTGCATATGGTGGTAAGTGTGAGGAGGAAAATGAGCTATCTAAAGGTAGGTGTTAAAAGTCGTAGTTCTCTGCCTGGAGCAATGGTTGGAGTCCAAGCTCCAGCCTTTCGCTTGGTGTTACCATTGAGATTAAGGTTTGTAGAGACTTCCCATCGCTTGTCTGCTTACCCTTACGACATTATGTCCTCTAGCAGCCCCAATAAGAAAGGAGGCAGTTTTGGTAGTAATACTTTTCCTGCCATGCATGCAGACAGTGTTTTGTTTTCATCCTGCATATGTGACCTGCTGTTTTGTTATTTCTTTCAGGCCCTGGTAACTGAATTTGAAAAGATCATGCCTCTTCCAGAAACCATGTTTTGTGCTGAGCAGATCAAAATCCCCCCCGAGCTGCCAGATATTCTGAAGCAATTTACCAAAGCTGCTATCAGGACTCAACCTCATGATCTTTTGCAGTGGTCAGCTGCGTAAGTATGGTGTTCTCGTAATGTAGTGCTGTGAATACGGAACCACAAAGTCTTGATGGTCCTTTTTATTGTACAAGGGAGCTGAATAGTGCATTAAACAACATGTATTGCATACATGCTTCTGTGTATTAATGGAACCTGTTAGCCTTTCAAAAATAGTATAGTACTCGATGTATTTTCTGCTTCACTGACATTTAGGACTGGCATATCTGTGGAATAGCTTGATTTTCTTTAGAGATAAATGACTCTTTTTTGTTGTTGTTAATTACTATCCTGAAGACCAAACTATTTTTTTTCTCTCACGTGAGACTTAATTCTCAGAATATAAAGGAAATGTAGAAATAGCCATTTAATTCTTAAGCTTGCTTAGATTACTTTTTTGTTTATTTCCAGGAAAAAATCTCCTTAAACATTAATAAAAAAGGAAAAGATCCTACAAAGTTGTGACTTATAGGTGCTAGTCCATATAATAAATTTCTCACTGTGAAGTTTAAGATGTTTAAGATGTTTCTGCTTTTTTATGTTCTATTTTTCTTTGACCTCGGCTGCTCACTATCATTTTGTCTTGTTGTTGTGGTTTAACCTGGTGGTCAGCTCAGCATCATCCACCTTCTCACTCCCTTACCCCAGGTGGAGTTGGGGAGAGACTCAGGTAAAAGTGTGAGAGCTCATGGGCTGAGATAAGGACAGTTCACTGGGTAAAGCTAAAGCCGTGCACACGAGCAAAGCAAACCAAGGAATTTGTTCTCTGCTTCCCATCGGCAGGCAGGTGTTCAGCCACTGTGAATAAAGCAGGGCTCATCACACCTAATGGCTCCTTGGGAAGACAAAGAGCATCACTCTGAACATCCCCCTCCTCCTCATCCTCCTTTCCCCCAGCTGCTATTGCTGAGCATGGCCCCACACAGTGTGGGGCGTCCCTTGGGCCAGCCTGGGCCAGCTGTCCTGGCTGTGTCCCCTCCCAGCTCCTGGAGCACCCCCAGTCTCTTTGCTGGCAGGGCAGCACCAGGAGCTGGAAAGGCCTTGGCTCTGTGTGAGCTCTGCTCTGTGACAACTAAACCATCAGTGTGTTATCACCACTTTTCATCTAAAATCAAAACAGCATTGTGTGAGCTCTGTGAAGAAAAGAAACTCTGTCCCAGCCAAAACCATGGCGCCTGTCCTACGGCTTGTGTGGAGAAGTACTCTGAATGGTATTTGTGAGAATGTCTAAATTGTGAGGAACTGAAAACTGTCTGTACCTGTGTCCATGAGGGAGGAAAAGCTGTTAACGAAGCTGGGTTTGAGTCTAGCTTGTCCATAAAAGAAGTGCAGCCTAATTGCTACAACTGCAGCGTTGGAGGAAGACAGTGGGAACTTCTTAAAACAGTTTTCTTTCTGGAATACATTCTTATGTGAGAGCACCTGAGATGGAATAATGCCCAGATTTGGGAACCAAATGCAGTAAAGGCAGGCCATAGTTTCATACGTGGTGCCAGAATTGCTTGAGGAACTTTGTGTCACCTTGTGTTGTAGTGTTTGTCCATAGGAATAGTCAGATGGGAAAACTGATCCAGCCGAAAAATAGCCCAGGTGTTACACCTACATACATGCAATGTATTTCTATTTGGTTAAGTGAGTTTAGTTCTGCAGTGCTGTTTGCTGTGCTTTTTTGGCAAGTATTTGCACAGCATGGGGTAGCCATGGCATGGACATGAATGACCAGCACATACGAATGAGGAAGAATGAAGAAATGCTCGAGTTAGACCCACCACTGCCTGAATGAAAACTAAGTTTTTTTGGTTGTTTGTTTTTGTTTTGTTTTGTTTTTCCCAGTTTAGATTGTTGGATGCTTTATGGCAGAGATGGTAGCTCTAAAGGCTGTGGTAGCCTTATAATTAAAAGCATGTGCATCTCATTCTCTTTTTGCTCTATCCTTAAATTTTATTTCGGAGTGGACAGAAATAGCACCAATGCTTATGTGAATGCTGCAGTGCTAACAGTGTTGCCAGGGGTTTTTGGGTAGCATGTGGGATGTAAATTAAATCAGCAGTAAGATGCTCATCGGTCTAATAGGAAAAGTCTGTGTGAGGTTGTGCAAGCACATTCTGAAGTTAGGAAATTACTGTCCGCAGTTGCCAAGCAGGGCTGAGTGTATTGTGCATAAAATAGGTTAAGTTACTTAAGAATTATTAGAGTATTATAAAAAGGACTATGTAAAGTCTTAAAGTGTGGTTTCCACTAAAAGGAACGGTGGAATTACCCCCTGGGCAGGGGAGAATAGCAATCCTGCATGCAGAGAGCTCGCTGAACGCTGCTGCCTATGTGTGGGAGCATGGAGATTCATTTATGGAACTGTAAGACCACTTACTTCTGTGTAGCTTTTAATCATCCTATGCATTAAAATGTGTTGCTGTTCCCATTCATGTAGGTACTTCACAGCGCTGTCAAAAGGAGAAGCCCTTCCTGTGAAGGAGAGGGTGGAAATGCCTTTAGCGAAACAGAAAGAAGATGCTGGTTTGACCCCAGGGCTCCTTAAAGTCTTGCATAAACAGGTACAAACCGGCCTTTGGCAATTGTGACAAATGCTAATGTGGTTTTCTGAGACAAAAAAATGTTGTAGACAGCTGGGGAGACTGTCAAATACTTGATGTATTTTGGTGAGGGACTTGTTCTTAGTTTCACTCTGGTTTTCAGCGTTCTTAGTGTGGTGGCATGGTTTTGTTTACAGCTTTCTCCTAAGGGTATGGTTAGTGTAGAAGAACTGAAGGAAAAATGGAAAAACCTGTGCTTGCCCGAGGAGCAGCTGGAAGCTATCCTGCAGCTGGACGTCCATGATGAAGAGGTGGAGTGGATGAAGATCCTGGCACTGGGGTGCAGCGTGCTTGGTGAGGTATGTTCGCAACGGGAACCTTCAGGACCAGCACCTAATGGTTATGTATGAGTATAAGTAATGCAAATGGACCTTGGGGTTAGGTTGTGTAAAGGTGCTTTTGTGTCACTTGGTGTGCATCTGCAAGCTGCACCTGGCTAAATGGCTCCTGTGTTTACTTCTGCTCTCTGCCAGCTTTTTTTTACCCAGAAAGGGTGGGCTGTGTCCTCACTTCACAGGGTGGCAGTAGAACAGCAGGCACGGCTGCGGGGAGCTTAGCTCATGAGAGACAGGACAATGGAGGCATGGTGCTCATGGCTTCAGTGCAGAAGTCCACAGAGCAGAGCTGGAGGGAGAAATTAAAACATCAGTTTCTAATTGTGTAGCTAATTACATTTTCACAGAAGCAGTTAATGTTACTAAATCTGCATTTAATTCTTTTAATGTCAGTAATGCAATCTCAGCAGAGCATTTTAACAGAATGATAGATTATAAAGTACTTACACTAAGCTGATGTTCTTCTGAAGGATAATATTTAAAGGCTTCTGCAACAGAGAATAAGGGCTACTAGGAAGAAAATATTTTTGAATGTTGAGATATCCAGAAGTCCTAATTCTCCACTCGAACGGTATATTTCTTGATTCTAGCTCCTCCCAAATGATTTTGCATTTCTCCCCTTGTTAAAAAAACAAAATTAAAATAAATAACAATAAAAAGCAACATAAAAAAAAGTGCAGTCACAGGAGCATCATTCTGATGAAGCTGTACAGCCTAGATTTACCTCCTTTGTCCATCCTTTCAGATATTAAGAGATTGATTAGATTTTGGCTCTGCATAGCAAAACTTAAACTTCAGTTTCCTAAACCTGAAAGGAAGAAGCTCACAAACTGTTAGATTCATTTCCTCCAGTTGTAAATAGTAGGGTCACAGTTAAGACACAAGACTAGACAAGTAGAGTCCTAACCTAGAATTGTGTGAACTTCTTCATAACACCAGTCAGCCGAAGTATTTTTCTGTAAAACTGATCTGTATTTTGAGTCTTACCTGTTGAGAAATAACCACATGAATAGCCTGTTATGATGCCTTTAAAAGGTGGGAAATTGAGTGGGAATAAATTTACTGCATTAAGTGAGGAAATGAGTAGCAGCTTGGCATGGGAGGAGGAGGAATGGTGGTAAAGTGGAAGCAAAGTGCTGAGGCTAGAAGGCCATGCAGAGATTCACATCACGTAAGCAGCTGTTTCTCTGTCCCCAGAGAGGCCTCCTGTAGGAGGGGCTACATTAAGTAAAAACTTCAGGAAGAGGTTTTACTGAAGCTATTACTGCTTCAACTGTTAAGGGATTATAAAAACAAGACTTCTCTGGCAGGTATTCTAGATCGTTGAAATGACATTGCATTTATTTTAAATTTTGCCTTTTTTTTCTTTTTTGACTGGTAGGGATTTTTTATTTTATTTTATTTTATTTTTTTAATATACAAAGTTGTTGCTGACTTATTAATGAGAAGGTAAAGATAAATTTTGAAAAAGTTATAACAAAAATATGACTTCCTGGGTTAACAAAAGCCTGTTTGTTTGTTTTAATAGTGTCCAACCAGTCTCTCATTCAACTCAATGCCATGGCAAATTTTTCCACACTTCCCCATATAGCTCAGTATGGATAGGGCAATGGATGATAGACATTGTATGGAATAAAGCATTTTTTTAAGCATGCTTTGAACTAACACTTTGAGGCGTGTTTTTTGTCCTTCAGAGAACTTGAACCTTTTTTGGCTTTGATTAACTGAAACATTCTTGAAATGTTTCTGGCCTCAGTGTTTTTTCTATTAACTATTAAAATGGAACCTGCATACAAGTAGGAAAACAGTAAATTCCATCATTCCTAAATAAATAAATAAATAATATACTGATAATATAATTTTTTTTAATTTTTTTTTTGTGGATTTGTCTGTCTTAACTGCTGCTACAAATTCATTTAGACCCGTTGAGATAATGTGTGTGTATAGATGGGTATATTAAGGTCTGAGTTTTTACAGTAGCAGAATAGAGCAATTTGGCCATATTGGAGTATGGCTCAGAGTACCCTGTGTGATCTTTAAGCATTACAGCATTATGGTATTCTTTATTTCTGTCTGTTACTTGAACTTTAGTATTGTTTCCACCTCACAACTTGTACTGGTTGGTAAATTGATAATGAAAGCTAGGTAATGATGATAAGGCCTTCATTTCATCTACACTGATTTTCAGTGGCTTACAGTCTGCGTTTTGTCATGATGCACAAAGGATGTTCATGGCTCTGATACTTCTCCTCTCGTATCTTGACTGCCTCCCCTACAGTCCTTGCTGAGTTCGATGAAGCATGCCTGCGAAATTTTAACGGAGGACCCAGAAGGTGGAGCGGCTCGCGTTCCCTTCGAAACATTCTCCTACCTTTACTCCTATTTGGCCAGTATCGATGGAGAGATACCGGATGAGAAAATTCAGGAGTTCCTCAGTGGAATTAAAGAACAAGCGTAAGTATTCAATTCAGCCATCAATTTTAATATAAGCATCACTTCTGGGCTCTCTGCAAGCCTTTAATTGTAGATGCGTAGTCTAGCTTCTCTTAGGTGTAGCCATACTTACATGAGTAAAAGCTGACTAAGGTTAGATCAAAAGTGTCAATAGTTATTTTCTCTGAGTGGTCAGCCTTAGGGGTTTGAGCTGTTAAATGATAAATTTTTATTTTTCCACTTCTGAAATATTGAAGTTACTGCCTGGTGATGTGGTTTTCCCCTCAGGAAGCAGTTACACACAGCTTTGTATCATCTGTGGGTTAACGGTAGTGGAACTATCGGTGTCTTATGGGCTGCTCTTGTGGTGGCTGGGATCATAAATCAGAGAGAAACTGGGAGCTCCCACTTGAAGTCTGTGAAGTTTCTATTGTGTTTCTCCCACATTACTTCTCCCTGGTACTTCAAGGGGGGAATATTTAACGTATAGCTGGCCTTAAAGAGTTCGGCTATGCAACTTTTGTAGTATTAGCCATGGTAAATTGTCCTTCCTGGAATGGTCTTGGCATTGGTTGCCTTCAGTGAGTATAAAAGACAAAGACTGTGCATCGTCCCACCTGAATTCATCCTGTTTTGGTTTTCATACCAAGTTAGTCTTTTTGGAATGGGTCTTTCTGTATTGATTGCAACCAACTTCACGCACAAGAATCCAAAAACGCACAGGCACACACATGAACTGAACTCTTGTCATTAGCTACCAGATTGATTTTTACTTAGAACCATGTTTTAATAATAGCACTTCTGCTTGCAGTTAATATAGGCCTCAGTTGTATCTTGCCTTGCATGCTAGGATTTACCATATGTGCTTTTCTAAGACATCTGTTTTTTATTCCTTTCCAGTGACCAACAAGATGGCATGGTACAGCTCAGAAACTTCCTGAGCCAGCCTTCAACACTGTTTTGATCAAGCCTACCCTTCTGGACCAGGTTAGGGTGGAAAAAATAAACAGGAGTAAGTAGCATACAAGAAGATTCTTTTCTGCAGGATTTTTTCTTTTTTTTTTTTTTTTTTTTTTTAAATTACCCTTTATCAGATGTTAGTTGTATGGTCATATTGATTTCCTGCCTCTTAAATAGATGTAGGCACCTTGAGAGTGGTATTTTGACTCGTTTGTTTATACACAGTGAAATGTATTTTGCTATGAATCTTTGTCTGTACTTCATAAAGACAAAACTACGTGTAGAGAAGACTGGACAGCGACAAGTGGTGCATTTCTCATTATCCTTCTGTAAAGCACTGATTTTTTTTATTTTATTTTTTTAACTGGTGTAGATTGTCTTTTGACTACCTGGTCTGCAAATTAGTCTGACAAAGATGAATAAAATCAGAGAGAGGCTGTACTAAACTCAAATAGACGAGATCAATATAATTTATTAATAGATACATTAGTCTTACACATTTACACAGTTTCTGGCATACACTGCTTCCATCCTGACAACCTCTGAACACTATTTCATTTTGTCTCCGAACACAGCTGTGAAGCAACACCAGTATTATGTTCACAGAATTACTGGCCCTGGCACAACACAAGTAGCAGTATGTTCTGTGCAAGTAATTCTTTGAACAGCTGGCAAACAAAATCATTACGTTCTTGGTCCTACTTCCTTCTTTTATGGCTGTGGTATTTGTCTTCTTCCCTGAAAGGAAAAAAGAGAAGTGTGCATGCTGTTAGACTGATGCTTTATTCTCTGTACTAAATTCTTACCCACAAGGGCTACAGCTGCCTGACTCGGAAGCAGGAGTCAGCTGACACCATTTAAGCTCACCTCTCTCTTTTTCTCCGTGACTCTCTGTCTTTGCCTCGTTCACGACTCCTTTTTCTTTTACTTGGACTCCTGCTGGTCTCTCTCCTGTGTCTGGTGCGTTCAGCGTCCTTAGAGCTTCCTCCAGACTGCCGCGAGTCCACTGAAGCTGACCGTCTGTCTTCCCTTCTGAAGAACAGTTATTGATTGGTACTGATATTATTCAATAAGAAGCTTTGCAATCGTTATTGTTTTCAGTATCACTTGTGCAATATATTGCCTTAGTAACAAGAGGCTTAATGAGTCTTCTCCATCTCCCCCCAAAATGCAATACCTCCCCCAAAAGAGGTCCTGGGTCAATACCCTTATATGCACCCATTTCAGCAAACTAACTAATCCAATTATCATTTCTTACAAACCTTGCTCCTCAAAGCTGCTCTAATATTGCAATCTTATCTCTACTTAAGAAACAGGAGAACGTGGAAGGGATTCATTCTGTTTTGCTTTAAATCCCCAAGTCTTTAACCACCTGCCCTGAGCTGCTACCTACCATTAGAGGAGCCCACATGCTTGACCTAATTCCTTTATTCACCTTTACTTTAGTGCTGAAAACAAACACCTAAAGTGTCACCTTTCAGTTTGTTTCATCTCAGTGAAGAAGCATCAGTAGACCAGGTAGTAATTCCACTGACAAACGCATTGTGTTAAGAACTTAAGAAGGTCCAAATATTTAGTAAACTTGGAAAGCTTTTTCTTTGAGGCATTATATTTTACTGTACCACATGACAGAATATGCTACAGAATAAGAAGAAATCCTGCACTTGTATTTTCAAGTATCCTTCTGTTCCCAGCTATTATGTGTATGTATGTTTGGACACAGGGAAGCAGTGCTTGTTCCCCAGCTACATCAGAAACTATCTATCCACATGGATCACTTTCAGCTCATCTTCTCATCCCTGAAAGAAATGTACTAATTCTTCTTTCTCCGTCCTTTATTCAGTCAGAGCTGCTCAAGCAACAACTTAACAGAATTGGTATACAATAAACTGCATGTGTCTTAGCTGAGGGCGGTATGTGCTATATAGAAAGCAGAACAGGATAACGTTACAGGCTGTCAGGCTGCTCTGTCCACGCAGCAAATTCCTCATGAATGCTAAAACGTCCTTTCTATCTGTGACATACCTTCCTGAAGATTTTGTCTTTCCTCCTTCACACATCTCTGCATTATCTAGCCTATTCTCTTCCTGCCACTGACTGCTGAGTTCTTCCATATGTACACCAATCACATCCCGAATCACCTGCAGATTAAAGATTTTAAACAACAGAAAAGCAGCATGCCATGGTAGTTGCCTATGACATACTATATATCTTAAAAACAAACAAAAAACCACCACAACATTTCAGCATAAATTTAATAGCATTTCACAACAGTCTGGTGTATCTGGTTGGCGTTTTCACATTCAAAATTTACTAGCGTCAGAAATGCTTCAGTTATTTGTAATTTGCTTCAACTAACCAAAACAAGAAGATTTCTCTATAGTTTGCAATTCTTAAGGCAGAGCACAAGAAGCAGAATAGACATCTTCTCTAATCAGGTGTATTGTTTATACCAATATAAAGTATACAAAAAACCAATAACTCATATCTTTGTCTTAAGACACTCACCTCAGTGTAAGACTTCTTTGTGATGTGAACGTTCTTAGCCCTGTACGATTGCCGTCGCCGTTTGTAGTCTCGCATTTCAGCCAGAATTTCAAGATGGGACTTTGGACCTTTCTGACTGTCATCTAGCAAAAAATTAGAAGTAAAACAAATGGCCATTAGCACAACATGAGCACCTGTGCGTAGCAAGTCTGCTGGCTTTAGTAATAGGAGTCTGAAACAAAATACACTGTATCGTTTCTGAAGTTTCTCCAATACTTAGTAGCAATTATGGACTTAACACAAGCTTCCTTTCCAACTTTGTTACTGTTTATACAAGGCTAGAAAAACACCACGAAGATGTTACTATGTGATGTCAGTCTCCCAGCAGTGACCCAAATCAACATACAGGGTTGTAGTTTGGTCAAAATGCTACAAAACACAAGCCATATATACAAAGCTGGTATTACTGTAAGAAACAATGATTGAGAAAGACAAGTTCTGTTGAACTGTTACCTGTATAGATAACAAACACTATCTGCTAGGCACAACAGGGTCACAGAATAACACAAATGTAAGTTTCACGTGGTACAGTTACACAGCAGCACGTCTCAATAGTGGTAGGAGGCCTTGTCCACTATATCCATTGCTATGATGCTCAAGAATTCAACTGAATGACTGCACCAACCTGCCTTGTTAGGCTTTTTTTTAATTTTAAATGATCTTTAATATTGCCATCTCTTATAGTAAATACTGTTCCAAACTTCACGAGTAATTTGTCAGTATTAAGACACCTGAAGTCAGTTGCAATGATGGAAGATCTATCCATTAAATATACATAACATCTATGCCAAAGAAAGAACACCAAGGCTTTCTCAGAGCTGTCAGCACAAAGACTAGCGGACGAGTATTTTCTGATGCCAGGTTGTCTTTGTGGCTTTGAAGAACAGTATGTTTTTCCTCAAAAGTAGCAAAATTCATGTTGTCTTGCACCAAAAGTCATCTACCTATATGACGTAAAAGCTCCGAGCAATAAAACAACAGTAGACCATCTTCCAAACCTTGGGTGATCTTTGCTGCTAAATCCACAAAGAGATCGCTGTCATTTTCTGTGATTTGCGACTTCGACATCTGTTTCTTTGTTTCCTCAACAACATAATCATAAAGAGCAAGGCGGTCAGCTTGAGTCAGGTCACAAGTGTAACGCTTATGATTTTGAGGAACTTCTACAGGCAGTGATGAATAAGATCCTGGAAGTTGAACAGAGAACTGTTATTAGTAAGACAGCATAATTATACAGGGAAAAAAAGGAAAAGGTCAGCAATGCCATAAACACGCACACTATGTTCATCCTACCCTTATACATCTGTAAGGAGTTAAGTCCTTCTTCACTTGAAAGGGTAACACAGGAATTTTGTTTTTAGAATGTACTGTTCTTACAGGGTCACAGAAGCCCATAAAAGTGCCCTAACAGTTATGTGCTCATGATTTTACAAGAATCCTACAGCTTATGATCAATACCAGCCTTCCTGTCCTATTATACAGCTACGTTGGTTTTTTTCCCCATTTGTCTTTGTTGACAAAGATTTCCAATTAAACAAGCAACATCAAGTCAGTAAATCTTAGAATAGGCCAAGACACCACAATAAAAATCACTCTGTATAGTTTTAGTGAGATCTTCACAGAAGTGTAAACTTGGAGTGAAAACTGCACAGCAAACACTGGCATCTAGTGGCTCACTGACATATCTTTGTGGTGCACCAGGTGACAAAAGGCTTATTTTCTCTATTTGGATATACACGTGTCAAATTAAGTTACCACTTCTCTCCAGAGCAAAATACACTTGACGCACTCCAAAAAACACAGTGCCAATCAGATGAAGGCTTTGCCAAGCCAGAGAAAGAAGAACAACGTGGAAATCTATGCCTGAGCAAGCGCTGTTCTATTTGTCAGGTCAGGAAAAGTACAAGTGCACTTTTCCTTCTGCACATGTGCTAGCCAAACCAAAAGTGTACAGGCACAAAATGCTGCATCTTTTAGGTGTTGCAGTAACTTCCGAACTACATACTGCAGCTTTACAGTGGCTCCTATAGGTGGCCCTACTTTTCTACTCTTAGCCTCAACTCTTCAGGAGAAGCATAGGTCACAATCAACCTACTCTACAGACTAGTCACAAAACCCACTGAAAAACGAGACAAAATAATGAGCTGAGACCATCGGCAAAGGACATTATTATATCTGTAGATGTGTATCTATTATACAACTATGTAGAGCCTTGAAACAATCCAACATAATACTAATGTGAACATCGCTCAGTTTTTGATCTACAAAGTGTTGGACAAGCACACACAGTTCATGTTTAGCAACTAATCCTTAAACAAAATTAAAAACACAGTCCTCCTTTTTCCTTTCCTCCTCACCCATTCCATGAACAAGAAGTCTGGAGGCTGCTTGTAAAGAGCTGGGGCCACACAGGGCAGAACACAGAAAATACAGGCAGAAAACAAAGTGCATATAATGGGATGGGAAGGAAAGGACTAGTGCTTCAGAAAACTCTTGAGTTTTGCGTCTGAAGAGAACTAGAAGTCTGAGTACAACAGACTCAAATTCTTTTACCTGGTTGACCTGAATAAAGAAAGTTGTTATGCCCCAAAATAAAGACAAGAAGGAATATTAAAAATTAACTTTAAAAGATCCTTCACAGCAATTCCACAAGAGAGCTAAAGAAATCATCTCCATACCTGCATTCTACTTACCTTCACTGTAGCCTATGCCTTCTTTCACACTTTGAGCTTTAGCTTGCTGAACAATACGAAACTGGAGATCTTTATCTGCAGATAGAGAAGAACTTTTACATCAAGTACTTGGTACCAGTCTTTATTCCCCACCCTCTATTATGAGATTTATGGTATTTTACAGAACACTGTAGTTTTATTGATGCATAAGGGAGTCTAAACTAAAAGTATTTTAATCTATCCCATACTTGAACTATGGGGAGGAGGGGTAAAAAAAGGAAAGGATTTCTGGGTTACAGGGATATGGAAAGACGTGTACGTACATTGGAACTCTCTCCTGTATCATTACTGTATGTCTAAACTCTAGGGCCAGTTTTTCTGCCTTATTAAAGTGCTTTTTAATGCGCTTTCTGCACTTGATGTAAGGAAGAACATAGATAAATTACCAAAGAAGAAAAAGGATTCTGTGTTTTACTATTAAAATGGCCAAGAGACCTACAGAGCAGAATTACACAATGAAAGAGGTTAAATGAATAAGGTAAAGCAAGGCAAAGCACAGTGACAAGACAAAATAAATGTATGTGATGGAAACACTCAGATTTTCTAAGATGTCTTGGAGAGTTTATGGGCAAGGTAGTGTAGTGTGCTGGTATGAGGACACAGGCTTCACCACACCTGGGGTGCTCCACACAGGCCACCCCACAGGAGCAAGGATGGTGTTAACAGGTTGCCCAGAGAGGTTGTGGTGGCTCTCTCACCTCGGAGAGGCTCAAAAGCCATTTGGACACGGTGCTGGGCACGCAGCTCTAGGCAGCCCTGCTTGAGCAGGGAGCTGGACCAGGCGACCTCCAGCATCCCCTTCTGACCTCAGCCCTGCTGCAAAGCGCCCCCACACCCACCCACCCGCTTACCCATCGCAACGCTGGGCACCTTCAGGTTTTCGTAGAAGAAGCTGGAGTCGTACATCTCAGCCTGCGGGACACAACAGCTTGGTCACAGCACAGCAGCCCTACCTCATCGTGCCGCCCGTGGCGTCCCCAACCCGCAGCCCTCCCTTGGGGTCCCCGGGGGGATCCGTGCATGGGGGCTACTTGCAGCACCAAATTTACCCTCCCCAATTCCTCCCACGATGCGGGACCCCCCCAGTAAGCCGCATCCCACCTGCTCCTGGTCGGAGTATCCCATCTTGCGGAGGCGGCAGGACGCCGCATGCCTCTCCAGCGACGCCCGGGGCACCCGGTGATGGCTGTCGTAGGGGCACAGCACCCGCTCCACCTGCCGGCCGCACACAGGTCAGCGCCCACGGACACCCCAAGCTCCCGCAACCCCAGGGAGCCCACCGCCACCGCCGCCCCCTTGCCATTACCTGGTCGCCCAGCCACACGGCGCTGCCAGCCGCCATCGCCCCCGAGCGCCATAGGGAAGGGACAGGAAGGGAAGGAGACGCCTCCGCCGCCATCTTTACTCCGGGCGCATCCCGAGATGGGGCGGCGCCATTTTGTGAGGCAGCTTCAGCCCGGCTGCTGAGGGCAGGGAGGGAGGGAGGCGCCGCTCCGCCCCGGCTCCTCCTCAGTCTGCCCCGTACCAAAGGGTGGTGCTGCACGGCACAGGGAGGGAGGGGGTGTGCGTTTCGTCTTGGCACCATCCCCACACATGCACAGCCCAAGGGACAGCGTGGGGGAGAGCCACAGAGCTGGCACATGCCCCCAGGAATCCTGTCCGCTGTTTGGCCCAAATTAAAACAGCCTTCCCTTAGATGCTGAGGACTCAATAAAACTGGAACATAAAACAAGGAAAGAACAGCTATCCTAAGAACTACATTTAATGTGATTGACAGTTTTTGCTTGCCTATTTTTGTCTTCTGTGGGAAAAGCGCATATGACTCGAAAGACGAGTCAGTGTAACAAGGCGGGGCGGGGTGGAGGAAGCACGACAGATGTAGCTGCCAGAATGACTCTTGTACATCTGCTTTCCTTAGCAGATTACAGCCATTTCTCTCCTGCACAGTGAATTTGAGACTCAGCTGGGATTTTAGCCCTCTGGGAGATTTGCTGGCTCTTGCTATGTTTGCCTGAGGATCTTTGACTTCACACGATAAAGAATACTTGGAGCTTCCCATCTGCCCTTGCCGTTTCAGCTATGCTGTAGCAGGGTGTGCTAGCTAACATTAGCTCATTTTGTCATAAGAGTAATGAGAACAGCTGGGCAAAATGGTGCTGACCACCTCCTCTCCACTGGAAAATGCTGTTTCTTCAAAATTACAAAAGTCAAGTTCAACAAAATATCAAAGCAGTTTAAAAAATAATAATAATAATAATTTGATAGAATTAAACTAAATTTATAAGTAAAAAAATATATATCAAAATAAGATTATATTTAAAAATCAAAATCAGTATAGATAATTTGCTCTGTTAAACCAGAACATTTTGTGTGATTCAAAATAATCCTTGGGTGCTTTTTTCCCCCCCTAAAATAACAGCTCCTGTGATCATTTTTCCTCTGGATTTGATTTCCTCTGGATTTTTTCCTCATGGATTTGATGAAATGGCTGAGCAACAAACCACTGGGGTGAGTGTTCTCCTTTCTAGAGCTCTGTGAGAAAAAGTCCAGTGAAGCTTCATTCCTGTGATACAGTAAATCCAGTTACGAGGCCGCCAGTGCACAGACCACAGTGGGGCCTGGGCTAAGATTAAGCCTCTGAAATAGGTTTACAAGAAAACCGAGGACAAAAGGTGAGCCAAGGCCTTTAAAAAGTACATCGGGATACTGTGAAGCAGCTCCACGACACAGCAAGTCAGTGTGCAGCCTCACAGGGATCCTCTGCGGCAGCACCGAGCGCCCCACACCACTGTGCCAACTGAAGTGGTGACAACGCTCTGGGAGGGGATGCTCCAGCTGGTCCTTGGGTAGGGCTCCCAAAAACTGGAGGACAAGATTTTAGGTTCAGCAGTGCCTTGAGAAGTGGCTGCAATCACAGTGCATCCCAGGGATGCCCTCAGGGCAGCTGTGAAAGCTGCTGTGGCTCTTGCTGCATTTGTCACTTTGGGGCACGAGAGGATAAGGTACTTCCATGAGCCACTTTCCCAGCTCACAAAAATTCACAGCACTGCTTTCCCTCACAGGCAACAGCACACTTACATTGGTTTCCCATCAAATGGGATGTGAGATCACCACAGACTTTCAGCTACATAGCCTTTTGTGGCTGATTCCTGCCTGTGGCATACCCTCCTCTGCACGCTAGGACCATGCTGGCTGCAGGCCAGCAGCTTTGTGAGTCTGTGGTTGAACGACACGGCTGATAACACACCATTGAGTTTAACGCATATCTGCCTCCGCGGTCCCTTCTGAGGAGGAGAGAGGAAACAACACAGCTGCATTTCCCCACGCAGAACAGCCTCCCAGAAGGGGGTACGTGAACACAGCCTGCCCCCCTTGCAGTGCTGCAGTGCTGAGTATGCTGGGAATCTGGTGCTCTTTCTGGGCAATATTGATCTCCCGAGGAAGTCTCTGCAGGAACCGGCCCCAAATACCCTCACAGTGCAGCAGAACAATCCGAAACTGCAGGATATGCAGAAGGCACAACAGGGAAATAGCGCATACATTATGGCAGCATAAAGGCTGTACAGCACTCCTGGGGAACTCCATAAGTGTACCACCTCTCCTCCTCCTCCAGATACAATTTATACTGCTAGAAAATCCAGCTGCTTACACATCTGATACCCTCTGATACTGCTCATACAGCCCAAACCTTTCTGATGGTCATGCACCACAGGTAGGAGGCTCATTCGGAGAGACAAAACCCTTCCTCACACAGATCACACAGGGAGGAGCATCCCTCACCCATGGCTTGTGTTTTTATTCATTCACTGATAACAAAACCTTGCAGGCACTCTGCAGCCTTTTAAATATGTATTTAGAAGCATATTGGCTCCTTGAACTAAATGATTTGTTTCCAGTGTAGCAGAGAACAGGCTTTTCATATTTAACATTCCCTCTATTGCTTAGATTCATTCTTAGAGGTGTATTGTGTTAAAAGTTTCTTCTAGAAAAACAAACAAACAAAACCCACAAAACACCACCACCAACAAAAACCCATGAAATCTCAAACTATTCATTCTTTTTAACATGCTTCTGGTAAAGAGAATTTAAATAAGCATTTTAACACCCTTTTTAGGCCTTGCCATGGTGTACTTGCATGTTTCTGGAAAGGGAAAGGTCCAGGGAGCAAGGGAAAGCAAGCTGAAAGATGAAAAGATGCTTCTTGGGACTACTCAAAGGCCAAAATGGAAACAGCCTGGCTTATAGCTCCAGGCAGCCCATGCTGGCTTGGCAGGTAGAAAAGACAGCTTTTGACCTGCAACTAGAAAAGATTTGTGCCGGGCCCCACCTCAAGATACCTGGCAAAGTTACAAGCTAGCACAGGGCTTGGAGTGAGCAGCCTTCTCCTGGCAGCCACCAACATGTCCTGAAGCTGGGGCGTGCTCCACCAGGGCATAAAACTCATTTTCTCCAGGGAAGATGTGGTGCCTAGGCTGATAACCCAGGGTTCACTCAGCAAACTACTGAACTAGACAGAGATTTTGTCAGGAGAGAGCACACAGGCACCTGAGTTTCATTTTTTGGTCAGTGCAGCTATTGCTCCCTGCTCTCCTAGACTTCAGCTAAGATGCCACGCTCCAAATCCATAGCACGGGCTCAGCTGGATCAACCTTGTTATCTGCAGGGACACGAGGTGAGCTTCTCTAGCAGGCGTGAATCAAATTAGAGAAATATTCTTCACGGCATAAGCAGACTCCTCAAAATTCCTCATGCCAGATCTGTTATCAGAGATTAATTTCCATCATTTGCTGTCTGAGTTCCAGCTTTGCTGCCCTTCCAGGTCACCCCCAGCCCTGGTGTGGGGCAGAGCAGGTGCTAATGGTAAGCAGAGAAGTCGGAGATTGCTCTCAGGCCTCATTATTTCCTCTGCCAAGGGAGCCCAGCTGGTTTATTCGTTCAGCTGTGTACCACCCAGAGCCTGCTATGGGTCCCTGGCTCCCACATCGTACTGCTTGCTGTTTTTTACCTTAGCCCCATTCACAATTACAGCCCAAGGTGTATTTTACAAACTGCACTAGGCTGGACACTCCAAAATTGATTTACAGGTGGCAGCTCTAGCACCCGCTAATGCCTTATTGATTCCTCTTTTTGTGTCTCCTGTGATCTCCGGTGGAGGCAGCAGATTTAGATCAGTGGATCAGATTGGCATGACCCTTATCTTTAAAGATAAAGAATCTGAAAGCTTGGAGTTGCCCCCGCATGTCAGATTTACACGGAGCCTGCATGCCAACCTGTGCTTGCACATGGCGACAAGAGGTATCGCTGCAGGAGTACTGCCAGAAAACAGCCTCGCATGATGGACCTGGAAACTCACTGAAAGCGGGTGGAAGCAAATCCAACCTCCTCCTGTGTGCTGAAGCTTTAACGTGGGTGGGTTTGCTCCTGCGTGGACTTTTCTGCATAAGCCCTCACACCTTCACGGCTGCTGCACTGTGATCTTTGGCCCTTTTTGTGCTCCTGCTTTGCGAGGAGCTCTCCAGCCAGGCAATGCCTGCTGCCTGCTCAGCGCTGAGGTTGCTCACCTGCCTCCTCCTCCCGAATTGTTCTGCTTCCAGCACGTTAATTTGGTTAATGCCCTCAATGATAAAGCATCGTGCCCTACATGCTCTCGGTGTGGCGACCCTTGTGGCATGGGGTTGCTTGTCCTCAATGCTGAGTAGGAGGGAAGGGTGTGCAGTCTTTCCAAAACCACACAAATGAGGTCTAATTGATTTTTTTCTCCCACAGAGGTGAGACCCAACGATTTACCCATCTGCTTGCCATTTCCATGCACCAGTCTTCCTGGGGTGGCTTGACAGCCAGAGCTGGAGGTGAGGCTTTGTAGCACGCCCCACCAGGAGCTTGATCTCTGCCGAGCAGAGGTGTCAGCCCTGGAGGCAGCTCCCTGCTGGTGAATGTGGGCCGAGAGCCCTCAACGCCCCCAGAAAGCAGGGGCTGAGCGTCCAGTCAGGCAGGGGACAGCAGATAACACACAACCAACTCTGAAAATGTGTGTCACTGCCTCTCTGCTTCATTTCCCACAGTAACAGCAGCAAGGGCTAATGGATGAAATATTTGTTAATTTGTTACTTGGCCCAAAAAGTGTTGCCCGAGCGAGGAGCACGGTGCGTTTCCCTCCCTCTGTGCATGTACCTGGGGCTGCAGCCACAGGCTGCTGCTGCTCTGAGCGCTGCTGTCACAGCTTGACACCAGGCCTTTGTCCCTGGGTCGCTGCTGCCCATGCCTGGCGTGCGTTGGTAGGATTTTATTTTATTTCCCGAGCACAGGGAGCTGGCCCAGCTGATCACCTGCCAAAGATCAGCTGGAGCCCGTGGTCCCCTCGCCGCCCGCACCGCCCTTTATTAGCAGGGCACAGGAAAGTGCTTTCTGTGGGGGGGAGCATCCCTCCCTTTGTGCCACCTGTGACCTGTGAAGCACCTGGAGCTGCGAGGTGAGCCAGCTGGGTCCCAGCCATGCTCCACGGCCAGCTGGAGCCCTTCCACCCTCCAGCAAATGCACAGCCACGCTCAGTGGCCAGGCACACGCAGGCAGAGCCGCTCGCTTCTGCTGCCACCGCAGGCTTGTGCAGCTGCAGAGGTCGCCCTGAAAACGCGGCCTCTTGTTATTCTCTCGGTGAGCAGTGGTGGCTGTCCCTGGGGGTTTTCCTTTGCCATTTCTTTCCAGAAGGGTGTGCGAAACAAGCAACCTGATTTTTAAGCTGAGGCAATGCTTCAAAGGAAGCGCTCCAGAAGGAGAAACTTCACTCACAGTCTCGTGGAAAAAGGAGCCAGCAGCAGGCACAGCGCTGGGCAGGTTTTATAACAAGCCTCGTGTGCTGGGTGTGGATTTGCAGGCACTCCTACCAGCATCCCCCCTTTGCAGGAGGATTAGGCTGGTGGATTACGGATGCCCTTGAAGGAGGCTGGCGTACTCTCAGGTGCTCTCAGCACAAGAGCTGCACCCCAGCAGCGTGGCTTTTGGGACCATGAAGAGCTGGGAACCCCCTGCCCAGAGGTGCTCAAGGCCAGGCTGGATGGGGCTTTGGGCAGCCTGGTCTGGGGGGAGGTGTCCTTGCCCGCGGCAGGGGGCTGGATTTATATTGTATTTATATTTATATTGTATTTGAGGTCCCTTCCGACCCGAACCACGCCGTGGATCCGATCCTGGGCTCGTTGTCGCGGCCTGACGCCAGGTGGAGCTGCACAAGCGACAGCGAAGCCCCGCAGCTCACCGAGGCGCTGCCCTGCAATGCCCACCCTGCCCGGCTCGTCCTCTCCCCGCTCCTGCCTGCTGCAGGCAGCGGTGGGAGAAATCAGGCCTGGGTCCCTGCGCAAAGCAGCACAGACCCAGAGATATTCTAGTAGTGAAACAGTTACACACAACCCCTTCCCGTAGCTTCTGGAGGGGTCTGGCATCTTTACATTATGTAAAGATCCTCCCAGCATAAACCTTGAGCATGTCTTTCACGCTGCCTTTTCCCATTTTATTTGGGGGTTTTCTTTCCTGACTTCACCAGGACCCCCCTGAAAAACTTCCCCAGCCCCTTCCCCATCTCCTTCTCCGTCTCCGTCCCTCTCCTCTTGAAGCTGCTGAAAATTAGCAGCTCAAATTAAGAGCACTTCTGTGCTTGTCGGAAGCTTAGCCTGCTGCAACAGCGTCTCAGACCGCACAGAGGACACCAGAGCCTGTCAGCGACTCCTTCATCTTTATTTTCTCTTCAGTGTGAAGTGCCAGAGGTGTAAGCCCAGCGGATTTTGGAGGACTCTGTTTGTTATGACATGATCACGATGGGAGCAAGGCAAGGTTCCTCCAGCCCAGCACTTCTAAACCTTCCCCTCAGTGGCAACACTTCACTTCAGCCTTTCCTGCCTCTTGCTCAGAGTGCAAAATTAAAAAAGCAACAACAACAGCAACAATTTGCAGAAATAAGATGAGCCTCTGAGTTCATCTGGAGGTATTTTTTCAAGAGGCTCCGAGGAGTTCTCTAATATCGCTTTGTCTCCCCCGTGCTTCTCCAGCCTCACTCATGACCTGGACGAGCTGGAGGCTGGAGATTTTTAAATTAAGGTAGAAAATCCCTGGGGAAATGAGGCAGCTGTTTTTCTAATATTATGTACACAGATATCTAATGCATATTGATGAATTACATATACCATTTATATTTATGTTTAAAAGGTCAACAGTGTATATTTACGTACACGCACGTATGTCTGGATGCATACAAGATTGTACATAAAAGGTCAACAGCATGAGTAAGAAAAACAAGTTGGTATTTCTAGCTCTTCTGTTTAATTTGAGAGACACTGGGGGTCACCTAGGACGGCAGCGAAGGCTGGTGGCAATCATCACCCTGTTCTGCAGGTCTGTAGGCTCACCTGCAGTGCCTTGTAGCCTCAGAGAAAATCCCCTCACACGCCCTTTTTCCACTCAGCCTGGGGAATTCAACAGGGCACTTTATCATGGGGTGCTTTCCGTCGACTTACTGGGGGGGGAAAGCAACTGAAAATTAGAGTATAATTTTCCCCAAACAAGCCTAATTTAAAACAAACTAAATGGCCTGTGTGAAACCAATCAAGGAAATAAATTGTTTAAAAAAAAAAAAAAAAAGTGATCTGGTTAACAGATGGTCCCAGAGCTAAGGGAAGCTCTGAAATGAGCTCAACCACACTAAGCTGTTAGAGGCTCCCAGCAAACAGGCCAAAATAGCCACGGCTAAATGCCGGAGTCATTATCAAACACACCAATCTGCCTGTAAACGAGACAACGTTTCTACTGAAAGCAAGACTGTTAAAAGTACAACCTCCTCATCCTGCATATTTGTGGTGAGTGCTGTTATTAGAAGTGGGTGTTGCTGTTGAAGTGCCAATAATGAACTTTCATCCTTTGCTTCTCTTTCAGCCCAATATGTCCCAGTGTGAAGGCAAGACGTGCATGGCTTTACCCTTCCAGTCTTACCAAGAGGTAGGAAAAAAGCAGTTGCAGTTAATCTTACTTTTATTCCCCTATTCACACCTCATCTAAAGATTGATTGGGGCCCTGACCCAACAAAGCACACAAATACATGCTTAGCTTCGAGCAGGCCTTTATTTATAATTCCAGAAACTTCCCAGCAATGGGAACAGGCATGTGCTGGTACTGCATGCTAGAGTGCTTTGCTGGATTCGAGTGCTTCGGGGTACAGCCTGCACAGTTCTGTGTTTCTGACCGCTGTGCTGGTCTCCCTCCAGAGAGCACTGGGGCAGGAACAGGACTCAGCTACGCCTGATGGTGCAGGAGGCTCCACTTCCAGATGTTGAATGAAGATCCCATTCCGCTGCAGCTGTAGAAGAGATAACACAACAGGAAAAGTCTCAAATTCTTCTCGTTGTCTCTTTTTTCCAGTTTCCTAACGATGTAGGGGCAACGTGACCGGCACTGCACATCGCTGCCCTACTTCCCTACCTCAAATGTGCCAGAGGCAGGATTTGAATTTAAAGTTGACAAATTGGAGAAACAGACTGAAAAAATAATAAGATGAAAATCTGTAAAGACAAGTGCAAAGCATTACACTTGAGCAGGAATAATCAATTTCCTGAGTACAAATTGGGACCAAATAGCTAGGAAGTGTTGGAGAAGAGGTTCTAGGGATTGCAGTGGGTCATAAGCTGAACAGACCTATGAGAGGCTGCTGTGAAATGAGTGAATGTGTTAAGGGGGTCAGAGAACCCCTAGCTGCAGGAGAAAAACCCCGAGAGGGAGAAAAAAGGTGTAGTCACCAAAGATCTCCAATCTCCCTATAGAAACTTTGGAGCAGTAAGAGTTATACATGAAAATAAATCAATGACTAGAATCACCTGGCCATGCTTATTTACTTGTTTGTTTAGAGCTTAAATACATTTTTAAAACATTAATAGCCTTTAGATAGAAAAAAACAACAACTATAGAAAGCCCCTGTCCTCCTTTCTCTGTTTCACACTTTAGGCTTTGCAGACAGTAAGGAAGATATCTGTGCTGCTCCTCCACAAAGGCATCGATGGCAGTGGTCTTTCACATGTTCCAGTGCCACAAAGGTTTCACTGCGCCTCCAAAAAATATCGTGCAAGAAAAATGCAGAGGTGCAGCAGCACAGACTAGGAAATGAGGCTGTGCTCTTGGCTTTCCCAGTGGAGGAGGATCTGGCTAATGGTGTCCAGGGAGATCAGGTCCTGCCCAACTGCACATTGCTGAAGAGGGACATCCACAAAACCAACCAGCCAGTTTCCTAAAAGCATGCCTCCTGAGTCCCTCGTGGACTTGCTTGGCTTTACCCTTCTAATCTTGCTAGCAGGAAGGCAAATCTGATTGCAATTAATCTCACGTGACAAACAGAGAAGGGAGCCAGAAAGGCAGGAGGGCTCGCTGAAAGCAGCAGTGAGATGGGGCAGCACAGCCAGGACATGAGTTCAACCTCACCCGGCTGGGATCGCCCTGCTGGGCAGGGCTTCAGGAGCAGGCAGGCTGTACTTCCCCTTGCATCTGTGAATAAGAACACCCAGACTGCCCATAAAGCAAACATTTTTTTTCTTTCCAGTTCTTCCTCTCCTTTATCACTACCAGCATATTCATGCCACTGTCCCAGATGAGTAAGATTCAACGTTATTTATTGAGTTACACTGCTGCGAATATCTACTTCTCCTACGCAGCCACGAGCTCAGCAGCTCTCAGCTATCTCACACTGAAAAGGAAATATTTTGGTAGAAAAATGACACTTGGCAAGGCTTGGTGCCATCACACTCACCAGGCTGAACTGGGGTTAAGGAGAAGGGTGAACATAGGGGAAAGAATAATATTGCTCTCAGCATGAGAGCCTGTCTTCTATATTCACAGCAGTACAAATTGCTGCTAAGTACTGGTGTGAGGAAAAGTATTTTCTTATGCATATTTATAAAAATGCATAGAAATAATTTGAGAAGCAATAGATCACCGTTTAATACAAAGTAAATTGACGTATATTTTCAGAGATTGGTCTCATAATACCTACACTTGCATTGAAAAGACTACAGAGGGTAAACTGCTTATCATACTCCTCTTAATACTTTATTCCTCTTCTTTTAAGGAATGGTTTTAAACTGCTGCATGTATTGCTTTTCACATTTCACTGTATGTGTTAGAAGGTAAACCTGCCCTAGAATAATAGATTACCCCATCTGTAAGCGGTGCAAAGGTTAATGCAAAGATTTTTTGCTCTTGTTAAGCTGCATTAGCCAATATGATGGCTTTTTCTAAAATGTAGTTTCAATGGTTCTGCTATTTCAATATATGTTTGACTGTTTTGCTATCTTTTTTTTGAAGCTCATTATTTCCCAGCTGGGAATAGAGCAGACTGTGGGCTGAGGCAGCTGGCAGATGGACAGGGAGGAAGAACTGCCATCCCCCAACAGGCTTCACCCACACTTGCTGGGGAATTGCTTTCCTCAAAGCACAGCCCCAATTTAGGTTAGCTGGAAGCAATTCATTTTTAAAGAAATCTTATGATACCCAGTGTTAAGAGAAATGAAGTAAAGACTTCTGAGATGCATTGCTACTTCTCACCCCACTTTAAAGCAGTAACTCCCCCTACAATACATAATAGATTAAAAAAAAAAAAAAATCTACCCCAAATGAAGACTTTTTAACTGTTTTCCCTCCTCATGTTTCCTTTTCTTCTTCTGTCTTGATCTATGCATATTCAGAACTAATTGGGAAACCCACTCTGCTAATTTTCCTTTGGGTTTTGGAAGGAGGAATTCATCAGATATTGACAGCACGGAAATACCAAGTACTCCAGTCAAGTTTTTTGAGGGGGCTGAAGAAGGAAGTCAGTCCAAGCACACTCATTTAGACATCTGAGAAAAGAAATCAGAGTGGACTTCTGAGTGATGAGACCCAAGGATTCACAAGGGGTGTCTTCACTGGTGCTATCTACAGCAACAGCAATAAATAGTGTTGTTTTTTTTTTCTTTCGGTTTTTTTTTTTTTTTCTGATCTTCCACTTCAGACACAGTTTGACTATGCAGCTGGAAAAGCAAGTGAGTCTCTTCCACATATGTGCTCCGTATTCCAAAACATACAATAAAATGTTCATGATGCATATGGGGCTTGGCTGTGCAATCGCTGTGCAGACAGCAAAGCGAGGGGCTGGACCACCAGGCTGGGCCATAAATGTGCTGCTGCTGCACCGGGGCTTTATTTCTGGCTGCAGTTCAGAGCCCTGCAGAGCACACCCCCACCGGGACGCCACATCCCCTCCAAGTGAGCCCTCACTTGACTGCTGCAAATTGTGGTGACAGTCTGGAGAGACAAAGCAAAACTGACACAGCAAAGTTCCTCTTTCACTGCCATTTACCGGTCAGCTCAAAAGAACACAAATTCACGTGCCTTCATTGACACCAGCTGCTATGAATGACTAAAATTCATAACTTTTCCTAGATATTTCTCCTGTGGTAAAGTTGGCATGATTAAATTATGGTAATTATTTGCTAATGACAATGTTTAGGCTCACAGTAAGACTGTGGATTTAGGAGCTTCCATCTGTCCAGTCAGAGGGTAGCAACTACAGAGCCTTAGCTGAGTTGTTCATTTCTTTGTGGCTGTAACCACTTCTAACCCACAGGAAAGGCACAGCACATCCAGGAGTCCTTCAGGGACCAGCAGAGACTCACCGTGACAATATTCACTGGGTGATCACAGTGAGTTATCAGAGTCATCCTGTGCTGCATTATTCTTCCTCAACCAAAAGCAGCCTCTGCTCTACGAGAAGATCAAGCATAGTAGCTGGGTCCACAAACAAGCTCTGGGTCCTCCCAGGCAATTTCCAGCTCGGCTCCAGGAGGGCTGTAGTGCTGTGACTGACTGCTCCCCTGCAACCGACTGCGCTGGCACGGCACTTGTGTTCTGTAATTTACAGGGCTAGAGTCGGGGCTTTAAATCCTGTAGGAGAAGAGACCTCTTTTAGCTGGGGTTATACAGAGTGCATAATAATTGCCCTGTGCCTAGCACAATAACAGCCCACCACGTCTACTCATTATTACTGATGATCATGTTACGGTGTCAGTAACAATTGTCTTTATGCCAAGACTTCTCCAGAAAGCAGCTGGATGGCAGAAGGCACTAAAAAGTTTCCCTCCGCTATCCCGCCTTGTGGCATGAATAGGTAACACTAAATCCCTGTAAAAAATGCACAGCTCAGGCTTCCTTCCTTCTCTCATTAAAAGGCACTTTCTTAGGGGGAGGTTAATTATTTAACGAGCTGTTTGATTCACCTCTTTAACCCACTTTGCCTGGTCTTCTGCGGCTGGCTTCCCCAATGCTGCCCGTGCTGTGAGGATGCTGGGCGGTGCCTGGGGGGCACGAGGCTGCCGCACCTGCCAAAGGCAGCTGAAGGAAGCTCCTCACAGCACTGCTGGAGGCTGCCACGGCTGCACATTTCCCACCTGTATCTACCACCAACAGCCCTTGCTACAGTGGCATGCGGCCAAGAAAATACACTTGCGTGTAGCAGGAACCTCCTTCCTGGGGCACGGACTCTCTTGGTTGAGTTGCAGCTCTACATCCCACGTGGTGGCCTCTGCCTCATCCCCGACCTCCAAAACCTGTTCTCGTTTTAAAATGCTTAAAGATCCCACAGCATTTTCTACCTTAGCAAACACCTCTTTCATAAATCTTTCTTGATCAGCCACAGCAGATCCCTATCAAGTGACTTTGCTGGGAAAAGACCATTTTCCAAATGTTTAGAACAACTGCCTTGCTGCTGGCTCTGTGAGCACTGGTGTTCGTGTCCAACACGGAGTGAGAGGGCTGACTGGGCAAAGGACTGCCTTTTAATTTCAAGAGAAACCTGTGGTTTGAAGCAGGTCAGTGTTGAGGCCCCTCAGGAGAAATTAATTTCTGAGCTGGTCATAAACATATTTTCTAAGCCAATGCCCCGTATTCTACTCCAGCACATATTGTAAAAATTACAGAAAAGAAAAAAAAATGCTTTAAATGGCAATTATAAACCATTAAGCATACTTTAGCAAGGCAGCATTACGCCTAAAAGACAACCAGAGTCCCATGAAAGAGCCAAGGGAAAAATTAACAGCGCCGGCAAGAACGCTGAGTGCTGTGGAAATCCGTCATTAGCCACGCGGCCGTGCTGCGGCGGCTCAGCAAAGCAGCCGGACCGATCCCCATCCTGCTGGTGCTGACCATTTGCAGGACGTGGCTGGTCATAATGACTCGCAGTTTTCATCTCAGTACTGTAGGGTACGTCCCAGTCACCCTACTATTGGTTGCCCGTAAAGAAATATTGTACCTGAATAGTGGAAATAAAACCTTACTCGCAAGGTTTTATGACAGACCTTTACAGGATTTAGTTGTATTTTCATCTGAAGCCCAAGTTAAGGCTTGCAGACTGTTTTTAAATAATAGCATGTTAACTGCAGATGATGAGAGCATTTGTTCCAGCTCAGTAAAAGACAAATTGACTTGATTAATGAGTACCTTGCTGGAACACTCACTTTAATCAGAAGCTTCATATCAATAGTTTTAATATATCAAAGATAAGGAGAAGTGGAGATTCGCTGATTGCTTGTTAGCATCACTCAAAGTTTGTCTGCTTCTGCCCTGCAAACTTTGCTCCTGTGCAATAAAGAATTTCTTGGCTCCTAATCCAGACATTATTTTTTCAAGGAGCTTTCAGGAAAGGAGGGCTCATAGCTAGTGTAAAGGTCTTACCTGTGTTTCTAAATGGAGCATTAATACTTTGTGTTATCTAGGGGAGCTCATACTGTTGGTTCCTTGAGTTTCCTCAGAGAGACTGAATACATTACTCCTATGTACAGTGGAAATTATTCCATCAATACGTGTAAGCAACAGAAATATTCAATGAAAAGTAGGACACACGTGCTATTTCTTTTCTCTGTAGAAATTTATTGGAGCATTAACTTAAAACGAAATAAATCTTGCAATTTTGCTTCTGGGTGAGGTATATTTTCCTGACTTGGCCCTGTTTTCTGCTGCTGGGCCCACGTGTCAGCCCCAAACTGAAATACATTCACTGTACCACCGACAACATGGCTACCTCTATTTTTAGGATTTGTGCATGCAGCCAGCGAGCTGAGCTAGCCACACATAATGCAAACCTCCCTTCCAGCTGCTGAGCTCATTACAATCTCACATATAACACTGTAAGATGGAGCCCATCACTTTTCCAGCAGAGGTCGAGCCACTGATGCCGAGTGGCTGCCCGTTTGGTGCTGTGCCTGTCTGTGGCACATCACGTCTGAGGTTACACCTCCATGTTAGTCCATCAGCTGGAGCCATAATCATCCAAAGGTTTTAATATGCTCTGAGGACTGTTTTTCAGGCACTCTCCTCTCTGTGCAGCTAATGGGCTCAGACAGCTGCCCCTGTAACGAGCGTGTTCTCATTAGAGTATTATCTCAAGGTATCATTCAGCGAATTTACTTTTCTGATGTGTTCAAAACGCTGAAATGAAATCAAAATATAAAACGGCACAGTATGGCTTAACACACTTCTGTTCCTGCCGTCAGGAAGCCCTGTGGCAGTTGTAGGAAGAATGTCTTACAGAAATCCCCAGACCCTCATTCCTAGGGACCTCAGTGAGCTGTGTGTCTTGGCTCAACTGCACATTCAGCCTGTGGGGATAAGCTCCACACATAAATATAAAGGGAATTATATATGTGCCTGTGTAATACACACACTGCTTTCAGGACCCCTTTCTATTTGAGCTGTAGGCATCAATCCATCGATTGCCCTCCCCAGTATGCTCAGCTGATAATGATCAGAGATAATATACCAACTTTTCCTGAGAGCATGCTTGAACTCTCATTATGTTTGGGGCACAAAAGACTTCTTTTGACTGCTGAGCTATGGAAAAGATCAAGCTTTAGGGAGTTTCGACACAGCAGTTTAGGACTAGCTGCATGGCATCAAAGCAGCTGTCTACCTGAAAGTGCCTCAAACCAGATGCCAATAGGGAAGGGCAAGTGGGTATTCCCTCTGGGCACTCTCTAGAGGTCTGTACAGCAGAGAGAGTCCCTTTAACTTGCTTTGTAGCCCCTCTGCCCAACAACAGGTTCAAGCTGGAATGAATGAGGATTTTTTTTTCACAAATTCAGCTTCTTTGACCACATGAATCATTGAGGGTTTACTGACAACCATTAAAACCAAGCGAGCTAAATGTTTTTATCTTGTAGAGCTGTCCTAGGGTATTTAATTAAAAATAGGCTTTTAATTTCAAAAAAGAATTAATTTCAAAAAAGAATTTCCAAAAGAATTTCATCAGATTATTTCTCATGAAAGCATTTCTGTGAAAAAAGGTAATTGCTTGGAAAAGACTTATCCCATGGCATGTTCTTCTATTATAAAAGCTGTTTCTGCTTATATTCCAGGTATTCTGCCAAGAAATGAAGGACCATTGCTGGGTATATATCTAGTTACATGTAACACGTGATTAAATATATTTTACAAAACATCTAACATAACTTTTCATTTTTTAGTTGTAAACAGGCCTTTTGAAAAACTTCCTCCAGTTCAAATCACCAGTGATTAAGATCTCATAAGCCAAATGCTTTCAGTTCTACCTGTCCAATCTCATTTTTTTGTGATTCTGCATTTACAGCAAAATCTAACCAAGTTTTGGGACACTTACTGGAAACTTAGCTTTTCCCCAAAGCTGTCCATCTATGATTCTGTCTTATCACAAGGAAGGAAGAGCACCTTATTCCAGCAGTCCAGAATTGCTTTACTTCTGTTTGGGGCACAACTCAAGGCCAGTTATCCTCAGTATGTGCTAAGTGCTTTAGAGCAGACTGCACCTTTTTATGCCATAGGATCTGCCACGAGAGATGAGCAGTTCAAAGCAAGTGGATGACTTGTCTTTCCTATGAACTAGCTGCTGTAGAGCTGTTTGACAGTGTAATTCAAAATGAAATTGGGCAGCTAGGGTTTAAACAAGAAGGGAAGAACATTTTACAGGAGGTGCAATGAGTGCTGTACTTTATTCCCTCACTGGCCCAACCTGCCTGCATCAGAATCTAGTGCAAACTTGCTCTCTCTCTTTGCACTGGTGTCAGCCTGATGAAATCCATGTTTTTTCATACTTGTTCTTCGATAGCGTTCTTTTTGATCAAATAAAAAAAACTTGCTCTTTTGCCCCCAAACATCAGCAAGGCTTTATCTTTTATTAATCAAACATAGCACAGGTGACAACTTGGTTTGCCACCTTGATTTTGATAGAAATACCAGGACTGGCCTTCCCAGTTCCCCCCAGCCCACCCCCTCGTTCTCACCAGCTCCCCCACCTCCTCTGGCCAGCAAAGGTGAGCAGTGGGTCATGGTCCCTGGACTAATGAGCTGTTCCAGCACCTCTTCCACTGCCTTATTGTCCAACTAAAACTGGTCCAATAGCTCTTAATGGCAAGGGAATCAGTCACCCAATTTAATGAGAGAATATTTTAACCTCCTGGGGGACATGCCACTCAGAGACATTATTTTTCCCTTTTCCCCAAAATATAATTAACCTCTGCAGAGTGTGGAAAGCATAGGCCCTGTGCACTGAAGCCTTTATATTTATTTAATGAAAAATAAAATAAACACACACCTCCCTCAGCCCTTGGTGCACCTCATTATGCTGAGCCCTCTTCTAGAGCTGCTCTGGGATATTAGCACTAACACAGCCCTGCCCTAACACAGTGAAGAAATGAGATGTCACAGCCTTAGAGGTATGGTGTGCCAAACAACACCACACAACGTGTAACAGCATGCCCCTACAATGTTCACCTCCATTTAGGCATAGACTGACCTTTTCAGAAGAAAGATGGCCATATACAGACATTGAACATATTAATAATGATAATTAAGGTGGAGTATTTTAAAACACAGCACTGGGTAACCCTGCTCACACCCAGAGCCCTGGCACAGCTGCCCTGCTGGCTGGATATCCTGGGCAAAGACCCACAGAAGTCTTGAGGTGGTTCAGATGCACAAGTCCTAATGATCTGTAAGTGATGTAGACACATTTATACAACTGCCCTCGCTCCGTTGGGCCAGTTTCCTCCCTCATTATCCCCCAAGAGCTCAATCTGCCCAGGTGCTGTGGCAGAGACGTACAAGAGTTAGAGTAAGCACTCACCAGTTGCTCTCTGGAGCGCAGCGGGGTGGATATCAGAACTCCCTCCCGTGTAATTCGGCATCTGTGGGTTCAGCTCAGTTACTTTAACCAGGGACTAATCCATCACCGACGCCTGAGTAACAGCACAGTTATTACCAAACATTCGGTGTTTTTCTTCCCCTGGTAAGAGACTTTTACAATCTCAGCTGGCCCCTTGGCTGACATAATTCTGTACAAGCCTGGAGTAATACGTTCTTCACTCAGTTTGTCATATAATAGCCTCTACAACACTGAAGCAGATCAGTGTCCATTTTCCCTTATTTATCCCCCCCCCAGAACAGTGCCTTTGTGTAAACCACGTCTTTCATCATTCTCCATTTGACAGCGGTAAGTTTATTCACCACGCTGAGGAGGAAACGTTTTATTTACTCCACATAAAGCAAATATCCCAGAGAATTATTCCTTGATTAAGCATTAAGAAAGAGGGTAATGAAAGATCTTGTTTCACTGGACAACAAATTACACCTATTGGCCATGGCAGCCTAAGAGTAATGCAAGCAAACACAGCGATGCAGTAATTCCCCTCGGGATATGCCACACACAGTTCTGCAGTGAAGTCAGCTGAGACTCTCTTGGTCAAAATGTCATTAGAGACATTAGGAAAATGCCACTGCTTGCTGATTTATGCAAAGTCCAGGGACTCCTCAGAACCAGAGAAAATGTTGCCTGTGAATTTTAAGTCCAGCAAAAATATAGTTTCATATTGTTTCTGCAAGTATTTTTGTCATTCCCCTCTTTGCCCTAAAAAGAACAAAAGCAAATCTTGATTTGTTACTTGATTCAGACACAGAAGAATAATTATAAGAATATAATTATTACACTGGAATAATGGACTTTGCACTACAAAGTTGACAGAAGATTAAAAACTTTTTCGGGGGGGTGGGGTGGAGTGGAGGGATTGTTTGTTTCTGGTTTGTTTTTAAATTAATACCATGCACCTCTCCAGAGGATATATGTCCTGACCATACTGCTCTTTATCCAGCTCCTGAAGCTTTAGGCAGAGGAATGTCTCGTCTTTCTTTTTTTTTTCCAGTTTCTTTTGAATGCCATTTACCCATGATTCTATTAGGAATAAAGCATAATTAAATACATTTCTTTTGCATGGTGTTAATATAAGCAGAATTAATATATTTGACATGGGAGTTACAAATCCAACCTGCCTTTAAATTATATTTCATTAGAAATACCCCCGTGTCATTGGTAATAGTGATGCCAGGTCTACATGTCAAGGAGAGAACCCAGCTCCAAATGTCAATTTTCCACCAAACCACAAACATACCAGTTCTGTAATTACACTACTGAGCAGGTATATTATTATTTGTCAGATGCAAATTTTTGTTTGTAACTTCTGAGTAAATAAATGTGTTCTTCCCTAATAAAATTATTGGATATGCCACTTAGTTTATGCCCAACTTGCTGATGCTACTTTAATTTATAACAAATAGCCCTCTGCCTTGTATTCTGATGGGGATACAGACAGGAATTACACATCACTTCATTCTGCTCTAGCAGCATTTTAATTGTTTAAGGGAGTGGTCACCTTGATAAAAAAGGCATGCAAATCTGATCCAGTTGTGGCATGTGGAATTCCCTTCCAGAGACATCAAACTCATCAGAAGCTATGTAATTAGTACCATTGATAATTTTTGTGGACTTTTTTTTTTTTTTGGGGGGGGAGGGGGGGGGGTATTTACACTTTTATAGAGTTCTTGTTAAGAGCTCTCCTTAACCTGCTAGCAGAATTAATACACAATAAGATTGTGTACATGCAAAACTACAGTTTTCTGATATTGTCAGCTAAATCCTATTTCCTCCGAATCTTATGATTTTCTAATTAGGTTTACTGCTATGGTAAATTTTCTCTTTTAATTACTTTCTCTCTACATGGCACAAAAACGTAATTGAAAAGCCCGATGTAGAGAAGTTTGCAAACTTATTCTAAGAGGAAAAAAAAAAAAAAAAAAAAAAAAAAAGATGGTCCAAGATCCAGTGAAGGCTATGAAAAGCCTCCCTTCTTGTGTCTTTTGGAAAGGGCCCCAAAGGGCAGAACAGAGTGCTGCCAGACTGTCCACTCACAAAGGTCTGGGCTCCGGTTTCTGTTCCTTGCACAAAAAGGTAGGAAAATAGCAGGTAACACCTCTGCTCCATGCCCATGCATTCCCACACACAAGCCCAATGCATTTATACAGCCACATACGTAGGTGCTGATACACCAGCCCTGTTCTTAGAGACTCTCACTGTAGGAAAATGAGAAAATAAACTACTTAACTGTGCAAGTAATTTCATCTGGAGCCGATTATCCGTCTGCTAATGCAGTGCAGCCTGGAAGCTTTGCCAATGACAGATTAAGGTCAAACAAATGATCATTCCTAGGAGATGCGCTCCTCTTCCTAAACGTGTTTTTCTTTTCACATGCTGCCCAGCAGTGAAATCAAAGAGCCAACAATTATGTTGTATTAGTACATGTTTTGAAGTGAAGGTACAGCAAGTTCCTGGGGTAACACCAGGGTCCAGACAAGCCAGACAGTGTTTATAAGAAAGAGAGACCGGTCTAAAGAGCTCAGAGGCAAAACAGACAAAGCAGAGGAAAAACTGCAAGAAGACAGCACTGCTATTTTATTTTACAGTTGTGCAATAAAAGCAGACGCCTTGTGGGAACAGGGCATGAGGTGTGCAGACACTTAAATAACAGCAACATTAAAGCCTGCATCCAGTGGCGGGGTGAGGCCAAAACCCCTCTGTCATATATGCAAGGATAGTTTCCCCTGACCTGAATTTATGCCAGCTTGTTTTTGCAGAAGCACTTTTTCTAAAAGGCCTTTAGAGATCTCTGACAACCCCAGCCTGTGCAGCTGGGTGCGCTCACACAAACTGCTGTACAACTGAAAGCAAAGTCTTCCTATGGAAACTTGAGCAAAGCGAGTTATAGGCACTGCTAGCTCTGCGGCCTGAAATATGAAGAGGTCAGACAGCCTGGTGATTAGTAGTGTTCAATTCTATGACTGAAAGTTTGCAGAGAGAGGTAATTCAGGCTTATGTCAGGCTAGGATGCAGGCAATCCTCATCCACTCAGGCACTACTGCTTTAGAGCTCAACCATTGTGAATCTTTGCACCAGCTGTCCTGCCTCTGACCACAAGAAAACACTATTTTTTCCCAGCCAGGGCACTGAAGATGCAAGCTGAGGATGGCCACGCCAACCTCCTTTTGCAGAGCAGCACAATACGCCCTGACAAGGGACGGATGGATGCTGCCCGGGAGCCGGGTACCTTACGTAAACCCAACATCCTCACACCACTAATCCGCAGATATCTCCTGAGGGCTTGTGTAATGGGCTGGTGGGGTGAGGCACCCACGGGGTCTCCTCCCAGAGAAGCTGCTTTGTACAGAGGGTAGGAGCCTGCTCAGCACATCTGGATGCATCAGAGCCCCATGCATGTCCCCACACAGGGACCACAGCACAGCCTGGGTGTGCAGAGTTGGGATTAGAAATGGGTTGAGTTGCATTTTTGAAGGGGGTAGAGTAAAAGGAGGAGTTTGCTGAAAATGGAGAGAGTCTGGCAGAAATTTATTTTTTCTTACATTTCCATTCTTCTAAGGTAGTGCACAAACTATTATAGTCCCCATCTCCCCTTAACTTTTATATTTCATTGTTAAAAAAAAAAAAAAGAGAGAGAGAGAGAGAGAAAAGGAATAGAAGTGAAGTAAAGCCTTACTTCTTAAAGAGAATGATTCGCTGTGAAATAAGTTTTGTCACATACAAAGAAAGCTTTTTCAAAGAAGGTAAAGCATAAAAATGGGTCATAAATGTCCACTGATTTACAGTACGCTGCTGCTGGAGGTGCTTAGGACAGATTTTTTCAGTGCATGTAGGGTAAAGAAACATATTTGGATACCTAACACATGCCTAATTGCTTCTATCTTTCCTCAAGAACTATACAGCACCTATATTTACTATTTCTCTATAACATGGGTATGCTTCAGTTGCAGTAGTGAATGTTCCATACTTTCAGAAAACAGATCAAGAACTTTGAAAGGAAAGAATCAAGATCCTCCAAAAACAAGGAACATACAGCTAGTGACCACTAGACAGCTTGGTGTAATGGGATGAAAGAAGGTATCTTTAGGAAAAAGGTTTCATTAAAAAATTTATGGAAATCTGATTTCAAAAAAAAAAAAAAAAAGTGCTTTTTGTTGTTCCTAAAAACATGCCAAAATACAATTTTTTCCTTGAAAACAGCAAAAAAAAATTAGGGTTAAAAGCAAACAAACAAAAAACCCACCATATTTATAAAAGCAGCCTTCCTAAAAAACGATAATTTTTGCCTGAGCATTTGAAACTTGAAGTTTTAAGGATTCCTTGCAATGGGAAAGTATTAACCTGCCTTAAGCGTAGAAGGACCCGAGAGGCTGAACCTTGTTATGGAAGGCTTGGTATCGATCAGGAACTTCTCTTCGGAGGTCCAGCACGGATCTATAGCTAATGAAACTTGCCCCCCACTAACAGAGGTAGGTCATGTGAATTGACTTTACGATGTCCTGAGGCCACACATAAAAAGTATACAGTGAAGGAACAGAAATTAAAGTCTGACACAGAAAAGTAGCCAAGAACTTGGTGGGTTGTAGATGCTGGACTGCCAATTATTTCTAAGGGGGGAGCTCTCTAGCCAGGCAATATGGTGAGGGAGCCCCCAGCTACCACTAGCCTGTATCTTCTTCACCAGAACCATCAGCCAGGTATACTTCTAAACCACTGATTCCTAACAGATAAGTTATGCAGAGTTTTTACTAATTAATGACTAACTTGTGAAGGCATTGAGATGCTGCCTCACATCAGCAAGCATTCAGAGAGTGGAAGCTGCATCTCAGATCTCAACGGAATTAGTTCAGACAAATCACAAATTTGGGGGCTACTTATGGTCTGTACATCATTTTGTAGGAACATATTACAGTAGGTCACAGGTTTCAAGCACTGCCACATGCAAGCTTTCAAAGATCTTGTACTCAACAACAGAGTTAACCACATAATCTTCAAAATCACCAGGTATTTAAAATAGCAGACATATTATTCCTTTTACTCACTTTTCTAGATTAAAAATGCCATTTACAGATAAGCAGGCAATTTCAGAAGCTCTGACTTCTGGTGGAAAAGGAAAGTAAAAAAAAAAAAAAAAAAAGAGAGATTATCATGAGACATCTAGAAACTGAAAAAGTTGGTTACCCGGGACCACAGCCTACTCCTATTGCTCACAGGGAGCTTCCCCACTAGCTGATATCTCATTCTCAAAGTACTACCAATGGATCCCAAAGCTTTTCAAAGCACTTTAAAGTATCCTTCAGTAAAATCTCACCTGGGACCCTTTAGCTGTGTCAGCAGCCTCCCTCACCACCTGGACCTGGCAGGTAATCCCTATTTCAGAGTCTTCAGATGGGGCACATATCAGAATTGGCATGCAGGATGATTCTCAGTCCTCCTTCCTCCACACCAAAAGTGAACCCAGCCATGGCACAAACGAGGGGAGGTGGATGGCAGGGAGCGGCAGCACCTGTGCTGTGTGGCCCCACCACCGGTGCAGGGGGAGGAACACCACCTATGGCAGCACCTGTGCCGCCCTAGCATCTGCAGTCCAAAACAACTCACTGCAAAACATTCACATAGGGAAACTGTGTGTGAATTGAATGTGTGTCTCACAGCACTCAGATCTTCATCTCTTGCAATTCTGTGGTGTTTCAAAGCATTGCGAATGCATTTGCCTTAGCTGTCAAGGGATTCGTTACTCAGAGGTAAACAAAAGTTGGGTGAAGAGCATGGCATATGCCACTAGAAGGAAACCTAAATCCCAGTAACGCAATTACAGAGTTAGATATAAATGGGTAAGCAAAAGCCTAAATTGTTAAATTATTAGGTTTCTTTTTTATTATTATTATTTAAAAAATATATATTTTTAATTTAGTCAAGAACAAAAGAGAGGTATGGGAGGAGTTTTTTTAAAGTTAAAGGCCATTTCATTCTTAACTGGCAAACTGTCCTTCTCAATCGATCAGATAAGTGTTTCGAAATCCCAGGGAAACCTGTTAAAAGCTTATCTCTTATGGTTTAACTTCAGAGCACGCAGTACAGCGTGGCACAATGAAAAATCTTATAGTGGTACTGACAGATTTGTTACAGCAAGAATGTGTTTCCCTATCTCAGTAATATTATTAGAAGATTTTTACCTTTACAACAAAAATTAGCAGCAGTCTTTCTTTTTCTCAATTGTGTTGTAACCCATTGTTCCCAAAACAGCATTTTCAGCAGTGTTTGCAATCAAACACAGCTCAATATACAAGTCCCTGCTGGTAAACCACGTTGCGAGGTGATAAACAACATAACGGTTTTATAAACCAGTCAACAAAAAAAAAGAAAAGTAAAGTCAGCTTGCTAGCAAGTTCCAAATTCTCTCTGACTATTTTTTTTCAGTAAAATCCCTCCTGGAAATTTCTAGGAAATGTTAAGGGTTTATGCTTCCTGCTTGCATTCTGAAATGGCACTTTTTGCAGATCACTTAGTTCGCACTGAGCCCTTGTACCAATTACGCTTCATTATGTTGCTTGTATTGCTAATAAGTCCCCTTTTTAGCTGGCCTCGTGTTGGGCAGAGCATGCCCAGGATGCTCTGTGCCCTCAGGCAGGACGTGCCATTGCTGGGTGGTAAGGAGAAAAGGAAAGCCTGACTTGACTCTCACATCTTCTAGGGGGAGAGAAATGCACAGTGAGGGTGGTTGAAAGCATGTGAAGGATGAGCTAAGACCTCTTGTTTTGAGTTGTATCTTCTATACTAACACTCTCCTGTCATGTCTGCTGAAAATGCGAAAACCTTGATTTTGGCCACATACATAACATGAGAGAGGGGGCTAAAAAGGCCAAGCAGTCCAAAGCAATTGTGTTTTACAGTTAAGTAAACCTCACACCTTTAAGAGTTCTACAAAATCCGTGCATTGCATTTGCTATGCATTTTGAGTGCCACATGGTCAGGACTTTACTAAAAAATTGCTCGTAAGCAGAAAGAACACATCAGCCAGTACTGCTCCAGGTCTGTATCACTGCTTGCCACAATACTCTGGGCTCCTTTTCAGACTGGGTTTTTTGGATGCAAAAGAGAATTGACTGCCAATCCTGTCCTGAAAAGATGCCTTGACCAACCATGTCCCGTCCCTTCTGGGAAAACAAGATGCTCTCTCTTCCCTCTTCTCTCGTCATAAGGAAAGTACGTGTGTTCATCTTTTCCACAGCCACCCACAGGACGGATGATACGTTTTTCCTTCACCAAGAGTGCAAGTTCCTTCATTAGCATGAGACAGGCTGTAGTGAGGGAAACTAGAGGAAAGCGAAGTGCAACATAGCTTCAAGAGCAACTGAGATTTTAAAGGAAAAACTCCTCCTAAGATCTTGGTACAACACGAGTATAAATAAATAGAGGGGGTAATTTAAGTGCAGATGTCTTCTGCTGAACATAAGACAGAACTCCAAAAACTAGGGAGAGTCAGGGTATCTTTGACTGTGACCTAACATTGCCCTAATCATTAAAGCAAGAATGTTTAACTTGGTTACACCACTGTCGGCATATACATGAGTTCAGATTTTCATGATTCCCAAGAATGCACAGTCCTTTTGACTTCATAGGATTTAAAAATTTGCAATTCATTTCACTCATTTAGCTGTTGAAGTACAACCATATATTTTAAATTGGAAGACATTGACCTTGACCTCTTTATTTCAGCTTCACCAACTGAAAGGCAGAGATAACAATATTTACCTATCTCAGTGTCTTCTGATTATTAATTGCTGTTTGTGAAGCAGCTTGACAGTGGAAATTTCATCCCTCAACGCTGCCTTCTTACAGAGGAAGTTAAAGACTTTCTTGTTGCTGGATGTGCAAGAAGCAATCAAAAGGAAAATACACAGGACTCGTAGGATGTGTCCAAAGAAAACACAACCACGCGGAAGCATGTATTTGCTTTACTGAATCAGTCATAGATTATTTTTTTTTTATTTTTTTATCTTTAAAGGAACAAGAACAACACAGGAAGGAGATATCATAGTCTCAGTTTGGTGTTACTTGTTAACTAGCCCTGTATTGAGGGCCAGTAAGACCCATACTATGCTTTGAACTGTAAACAGCTCTTCATTTTCATAGACTATATCCATGTGGAAGAGAGCTGCGCAAGGCAACAGAGATGAAACCAGCAGAACTGCATAGTTTGCCACAGAAACTGAGTCAATGTTATTTACTGACCTACCTCTCTAATTTCTTCTGTAGCAAATGAAAATACGTTTGGTATTTTCTTGCTAAAGGGTGCTGACAAAAAGAGATACAACGGAGTAAGAAAGGTACTTCAAATTGCATAAATGATGACCACGTGGGAGTTATGGCTTCTAAGGAGGTACACTATAGGTATAATATTCAGCTTTTACTTGAGCGTCTCCTGAATAAGTCCCATTATATTTTTGATTTGTGAAAATTGCATTATGAAAACACCAAGAAACAAGGGAACTTTCAGATGAGACAAATGTCTATTTATTTTAACCTGGCAGTATGGCAATTTAAATGATTCCAGGAAAATGTAAAATAAATAATCTCATTGAAGAACACATCTCTGTAAAGATGAAAATGAGTATTTTCCTGTTAGAGACAATAAAAGCTAACAAATATGTGCACAATAGGAAAATAACAATAGCCTCACAGTCATCCTATGAGTTTCTAAAATGTTTTCAAAGCACACATATCTTCACCAGGGCACTAATTCACTAAATTGATAAAATACATGCATAAAACATTTCCAGAATATTTAAGCATATCTGTCTTTCAGTTCAAACCACTAGTTAATTGTATGATTGCATAGTCTGGTGAAACACCAGTTAATGCCAGAAAGACCAATTATCTCAGGAAGAGGTGGGAGAGGGAAAAAAAATAAATCCTCTGAGGCATGATTCCTGGCACATATAAGGAAATCACATTTTCTGATATAAGGTATTATTATTTTGATACCTTATAAGTGCAGACTCTGAAGTAAAATTTGAAGCAACAAAGTAGTCTTGTATCCAAGCAGCCTTGCTGGAGACCACTTTGTTTATCAGTGCTCTGGTTTAGATTTAACTATCTAGAAGAAAGACTCTGGGAACAATGCAGTATACTGAATATAATAACTGTGTTTGACTTAGATGTCACAAAGAGCCTTTTACAGTATTTACCGGATGGCATTTGTTACATTCTGAAAGGAGAAATAGCTTCAAGATGATGACTTGTTGCCTTGGTGGAGGTACACACTATTCGATGTATTCGATGTATTCGATGTATTTCGATGGATTTCTCTAGCCATTCCCATCCTCCCAGCTGTATGGTTTTGGACAAGACATTTAAACCATGAGTCATTTAAAGCATTTGAGCAGTGCCAAAATAAGACATCTGCATGTTTAAAGTTATATTTTGCATTGCTCTGCTGCATCTGAATACTCTCTAATTCAATTTCAGCACCTACCAAATGAGAATGATATTAACTTTCACAACGTGAAATCAGATTCTGTGCTGAAACGTGCCACCCGATGCAAGGTATATGTTAAAGCACTTCAAGTTCTCACAAGAGGGTGCCTGATAAGATGAGTTGTTACATACAAAAAAAATTGGGCAGCAAAACTTCTAGATCTTGCCTTTAATTTCTTTACTTTGTGAAATCATTTCTTTTTCTGTTTTTGTGTCAATGTTTTTCCAGTTCTGCATTGCATTAGATAGCAGTCTCCAGCTCTCAATTTGTATTAGACAAAACTGAAATAAAAAAGAGGATTAAAAACATAATATTTTAGAAACAGAAACTAGGTCACATATTAAGGTTTTCTCAGGAGTTTGCTGGAAAAAATCAGAATGAATTCAGTACTGACTTCTGTACAGTTTACTGGTGCTGGAGAAAACAGTGAGGACAGAAGGGCATATATGTGTGGTACTTGGCTGGTACTTGGTACCCATGTCAAACACCTCTTCCAAACTGTAATGCCATGTCCTGAACATCCCAAAAGTACAGAGATGTATCATTATTGTCACTCATGAGATAAAACTGAGGGATGGGTAGGCTCAAAGCCCCCACAGTCATGCAGGAAATCTGCAGAAGAGGAGTGAACGGATCTTAAATTTTAGAAGTGCAAGGGTAGATGTGCTACACATTTCGTCCATATGGAGTGGCATCATCAGGCTTATTCATACCAGTATCAACACAACCTATTTTTGGTTGCATAATTTGACAATAAAGTCAGAGGAATTATTTTAGGAACATGTGAAGCAACTACATGGCTTACTCTCTGTATGTGGAAAGAAATCCTATTAGGGAGGAACAAAAGATTATGGTGTAAAGATAACATTGCTTATTAATTTTAGATCACAATTCAGTAATATGTTTTCACATGTATGTGGGGAGTCCTCTGCTACACAAATTTCAAAAATAAAATAACAGTTTGCAAATACATTCTCTTACATCCAGATAAAACAACAACAATCCAGTTACAAACAATCAATCTTAACAATCCAGTTAAAAACAACAACAAAAACCACCAGCAAATGAACCAGTAATTATAATCTTGGAATATAATGTACCTGGGATTTTCCCTAGTCATTTTTATACATTTATTTATTGTATAGTATTATTTTATTAAAAGATAAATTAAACTTATCATTTGAGAAACACTTTGCTCTTCTACTGTCAATATTCCTTAGCCTTTGTCCAACAGAAAAGACAGGAACTGACATATCAAACAAGTGACTGTTGCAATGCCATTATGTGCAAATGTGTAATATTTTAAGAAATACTATGCAAACCAAACAAACAAAAACTTTAAAGCAGAGATTTTTCTAATCCACTCCCCAGAGGTGGCAGAGCCGTGGACAGAGATACAATACAAACTTCTGTTTTCCCTCAATATTTTGATAAAACAACGTATGAACACTAAAAATACTTCTTCATCAGTTTTCTCCCAAGAAATTCCTTAAGACAAAAACAAAGAGAAATATGAAAACAAAAGTTGCACGCTAGGGAATTACTGGAAACTTCAAGGGTCTTCATCATTAACATAGCCTACAGTAGCATATATTAGAAAAGAGCAGCTGGAGTGGAAACTCCATCCATCTCTATCCCCCCCCCTTCTCTTGCACTTGTTCCTTCACTGCTGGCCTTCTACCCAACACCTTCAAAAACATCAGAACAACGCATAACAGCACAACATATTAAACGTGCCTTAGCAGGAGCATGCTGCAACAAGTTTGAGCTCCTCAGGGAGCTCAGTATGGACATGGCTTTCAAGGTTCAATACAAACTAAGCCGAGAGCAGATAGATCCAGTACCATGCCTTAAGGAAATAAGCTTTTTTTTTTTCTAGAATAAGTCATGTGTTAGATTTCAAGTAGAAGCAAAATACAGGTTCATACTAAAAGCAGAACACCAGTTATGATCAATCATAGCTAGTAAATGAATTGAAAAGAACCAGTATCACATTTTTGTACTTATGCCCCTCTATTATATTAACTGGACAGAGACACCAACAGGCTGGTACCACAGATACTTTAAGCACCATTTCCTCTGACTGATCTCCAGCTGGAAAATAACAGCAACTGAGAAAACACTAACATTTAGCAAGATGATTGCTAATATTTCCTATTCTCTGGCTCCACTCTCATCACTCAGCTCAAGGCTTTGGTTTCTAGGAAACATCTTGCAATTTCCACCTGTAGCTCTTCAGCAGATGTCACTTCTCAGATCAGGCAAGATTTCTCATCAAATATTGGCCAGAACTTAAGAAAACTGAAACTCCAATCCTGCTCCTTCTAAATGGGGTGGACTTTATAAGTGGTGTGGTCATAGCAAGTGCTGTTAGGTTCACATTTATAAAGGCTCTTCCTCACACTTCCCTCCAGTTGGGTGAATACTAAAACAAATTCTGCCTCTCTAGCAAGTGGGATCTGCTCTGGATATTTTAATCTCCTGACTTGTTAATTCCTATCAATAAAATTTGATCAGATGTTGATGAGAATTATGATAATATTGGGCTAATTGTTTCAAGATAATCTTTCATTTTCTTTGCTTTTTTGTTTTTACTACAAAATTTCTAAATACAGTATTTAACTTAAATGACATTAACTGGTACCTCTTCTAGATGAAATGTTTGAGGCTGTCCTCCTACAAAAGCCACAGGAACAGCTTTTTTGATCTTTTGAAAACATGTGCAGGTATTTTTGGCTTTTCTTCACATTGTTCTAATGCAATTTGCACACTGAAGCACAAATGACAAGAAACCCCATTTGCCATGCACAAGCTGTGTCACTGGAGGAATTTACAAACTGAGCATAATCTGGTTTAAATATACAACCATGCCCAAGCAGACCAGCATTGGTGGGAACCTCTGTGCTGGCAGACAAATGGCTGCAGCATCACCTCAGGGAGCTGCACGAGGGTTTATGTCCAATTACCTGCACCCTTTTGTGGTAGCTCGCTGCTCACTGTCAGGCTGCACAGAGCTTAACTAATGTGAACTACGGGCTCGACAGCACTTGTAAAAGCAATGAAATTAAATGGGAAACATGGTCCCTGCTCTTTATTAGGAGTATTAGCCTGACTCCTTGCTTTGAGAACTCAAGGAATATAGCACTGCTCTTTGAGAGAAAGGGTGAAAGTGTTGAGCTTGGATGAGAGAAAAGTTTTCACCTGAGGTCCCTGCATGGTGTCTCTACAGCTGTGGGAATGGACTGAGTCGTTTCTCCTCCCCTAATCAGCAGATAAGCTAGATTCTGAACATAGGAAAAAATCCACAAATTTTCAGAATCAAACTTTTTTTTTTTTTTCCTAAATTGAAATAATTTAGGTATCCCTCTAGGTGGAATCAGGGTGTTATTTTTTTTTTTTTCTCTTTGAAGTTTTTACTGCCTGCATCTTCATTAACATATTTATTATAATTAGATAATATATACTTAGTAAAAAAAAATAAAAATAAACCTTTATTCTTGTGCTTTTATTTCATAAAACTCAAAGCAAATACATTTGATGAATTGGTTCCTACAGATAAGCCGAATTTTCACCAAAACCTTTTTGTTCCCATTTTGTTAAATTCATTCTTTTAACCTTTCTGCTATTCAGAGTTACCACAGGCAGAAGTCTTTCTGAGCACCGAGCTTTTATGATAAGTTCTGGCTGGGAACAATGCAAATGTTCCCTGTCAGCAGCAGGGTCTCAAGGAAAATTGAAGCCCTTCCAAAACACAAGTGGTGCTCTAAGAAATCACATTGTGTTGGCCAGACCGATGGCCACACTAAGTGAGCAGGGAACAAAAAGTTCACTGAACGGAGCCCTTAAACTCCACGAACCGGTAGGCAACAGGAGTAAAAAGTCAGTCCCACAGCACTGTCGTGCTGCAATTAAAGCTGTATTTGAAGTGTGTGACTGGGGTGTTGGGGAGCAGGGCCCTTGCTGTACACAGAACTAAATGGGAACAGGCAACATCAGCACGCCCATCGCTGGGAATGAACGTCAGCCCTGATCTCAGAGGTGTCTGGAGGTGAGCAAACAGTTTAATCTCATTTCTTCCCAGTTTAGCCTCTTTGCAGAGGCAGCCAATCAGGGAGCTATTTATTGCTAATTCTGATTACAGATATCCATCTGCTAGATGCGGGGCTAAACCCCCCAGCCGGGCATTGGCAAGAAGCTGCTGGGTTTGGTATCAATGGAGACATCTGCTTTGCACAAGGTTTTCTTGCAAGAGTACAAGCACTCACTGCTCAGAGACCTTTACACGTACCTTTGCTTTCCCTTCAATTCATACTCTTAATTTTAGAGACGTGTCTCATGCCCTGCCTCACCTCACACAGAAAGCTTGTTTCTCTCCTTTCAGACAGGCAGGGACTTGGTCCCTGGACCAGCTAAAGCTTCTCATATACCCCAGGCTCACTTCAAACTGCTGTGGGAGAAACCAAACGCCCCGTTTGGGTTGGCTCGTGGGCTTTCTCCCACTTATCTCGCTGCCAGAGAGTCGTGCTGATAAGGAGCTTGAAAAGGGAGAAGGGCTACAGAGGAACCGTGGCACTGTGACAGCTCGGTGTACGCACGCACGATTGCTCCCCAAGTAATCTCTCGATGCCTTGCACTGAAACTATGTGCCTGGCATCTGCCTGCACGTGTCCAGCTGTCGGTGCTGTGCTTTCTCTGTTCATGAACTGCTCGCAGGAAAGTGAGCTCTCCCTCCCGACCCAGAGCTCTGCAAACTGCCCTCCTCCCCCCCTCGGCCAGAGGCAGGCTCCGGGCGCCTTTCCCCCTCCCCGACGAGCCCATCCCGGGCTCGGGGGCTCTGGGGGGCTGCCTGTGGGGGTCCCTCCGGCCCCAGGGGCTGGGGTCCCGCCGCTCCCTCTCCTCCGAGGCTCTCCCCGTCTTTTAGCTGCGCCTCCCCGGAGCAAATCGCTTTCCAGACGTGTCCCTGATGTCAGCGCGCTAAGCCCAAGCCCCAATCTGCTCCGAGAGATGCTGATCGGCTTACGGGCCGGGAGTTTGCTCGCCGCCCTTCCTAAACCCCAGACCTGCCTCCCAAACCCCTCTCCCCACCCTCCCGGACCCGGAGGGATCCCCTCAGCGGCATGGCCCGGCCCGGGGGCGGCCGGCGGGCAGGGGGCGACGAGACCCCCCCCAGGCTCCGGGACGCCTAGACGGCGTGCCGGGGTGCCGGTGTCAGGGGTGTCGGCGACAGGGCTGTCGGTGACAGGGCTGTCGACATGGTGCTGCTGTCGGGGGCCGGGGGGCAGCTGGCCGGGGAGCGGGTCTGCCCCGCTCCGGGCTCCGGCAAGGAGCTGCCCGAGGCGGAGAGCGGCCCCGAGCAGGGGGCGGAGGGGGCTGCCGGCCAGGGGCAGGGCGACGAGGAGGAGGAGGGGGAGGAAGAGGAAGAAGAAGAGGACTGCGAGGAGTACGAGGATTTCTCCGAGCTGCCCGACACCTGCAGCATCGCCTCGGACGACTCCTTCTACCCGCCGGGGGGGCTGGAGGACGAGGCGGAGGACGGCTGGTCCCTGCAGCAAGGCGACGGCGACAGCCCCGAGGCGCTGAGCCTCTTCCGAGCCTGCTGCACCAACAACGCCGTGGTGCTCCGGGCACTCATCCGGCAGGGCCCCGAGGAGGAGGAGGTGCGGGAGACCGACCGCAACCGCCGGGTGAGCAGCCCGGCACGGCCCGGGGACGGGATTTGGGGGGCACGGGGGGGAGCCGCTCGGGTTTGGGTCCGCAGCCCCGTGGGGTAACGATGAGGTGTGGGGGAGCCGAAATCCCGCACCGCCAGGGTGGGCAGCCCGCTGGGGGGCGAGGCTGCCCCTTTGGGATCTCTCCTTTAGGACCAAAGCTTCCCTTTCGCCATCCCGTCCCTCCCCTTGTCACATCGAGAATCTGGAAAACTGCTCCAAGCCTGCCTTCCCCTTTCTGCTTTGTGTTTATTTCTCTTCAGCTCTCCTAAAACTTTCGGCTTGCTCTCGGTTCCCAGGACGCCGGGGGCAGAGTTGGGGGAATTCCTGCTCTACAGTCAGACTTGGTGGAATTCACCTCCTATTCGCTTTGTAGCCTATTTTTGGATCTTGTGTCATTGCAATCTCTGTGATTTGGTTTTTGGCTGTTAGTTAGCTAACTGCAGGGCTGGAAGGGCGTTTCGCTAAGTCAGAAAGTGAAAACTTTTAAACTTTTATGGGAATGTGCAGCTGGGACACTTGAGTTACACAGAAAATTAGCAAGAGCAACTCCAATCACTTGGTCTTCTACAGTTTATATTGAAACTAATGAAACTACGTAATTTTTATTTGTAATTTGCGTAATTGCTGTTTGCATGAAGAATCTCTAAAAAATGTCTGTGACTACTCTGTAACAGGAAGATTTTGAAGCAAAAAGGTTTTGAAGAAAGCCTGAGTGATTTTAATTGGGCAAGTGACTTGCGGGTTTTGGCAACTTAAGAGGTCTTTGCATGGCAAATTAGACAATAATTTGGCTTGGGGCCTGTTTAGAGATGGACTTTTCTTTGGTCTTAATTGTATTTACCTGTGGGATTTTTCCTACAAAGAATCTTTCATTCCCTCTCCAAAAGGTTATTTTAATACAACTGTTTCAGCGATCCAATTCACAGTCTATTTCTACAAAAGCTGCCAATGCAACAAGTTGTATTAACACATGCAAGGAGCAGCCAACTATGCCGTGGGGTCGGGAAGGAGCTGCAGAGTGTAGAAATGCTTTAGATCTACTTTTCTGCCAAAGGCAAGGTACAATGCAGGTACACTCCTTGCTGGTATCACGTGAGATCCAAGCCTATGTTGGAGCAGGTCTTGAAAGCCCTGCTCAGGTCCCTCCACCCCATGCATGAGGCTTAGGCCTGTGCATGTGGTGCTGGCCTGGGCCTGAGCCCCACCCATGGCCACTGACCTCCACTGGTGTGGGTTCATCAAGGCCTGAGAAATGTGTGGCAGTGGAGACAGTTCCGGCACAAAATGCCTGGAGCTGTCCCTTCGGGGACACTTTGGTGGGAAAAAAAATCAACAAAACCAACAAGTAAGAGAAATTCTGGAATTCAGTGACTTCTGGAAGCCTCACTGGTGACATGGGGGATGTTAATTCAATCCTCCCTCTGCCTGAGGGGATAGGACCCCACACAGAAGTAACCTAAAGACAGCAACGCAGAGCATGGCAGTATGACTCTTTGGACTGATGAAAATGGGATGCTAGAAGCTGTTGGCCCCACGGCAGGACTCCTGGACCCTCTTTCAGGCCCTGTGTGGAATCAGTCCATGCGCTGGCAGCCTGGTTAAACCACAGTGCATTCTGCATTGGGTTTAAATAAAATGTACAAGAAAACAGATTCCTCTTCGGATTTTGTGCATCTACTGCCAGTACTTTCCCCAGCCACTGCTGCTCAGAAAATCAGGGCAAATATGTATTATTTTGCAATAGAAAAGCCACATTTCTCGGGGAATTTTACCTGACAAAAGTTAAGTTTCTCTCAGCAATTTCTTTTTCCCATGGAATTTTTGCTTCTGTTAAATTTGCAAGTTATATAGAATCATCGCACATTACACATAAACAAAACTTATTTGTACTGCCAAAAAGTAACTTAAGAAGCTACATATCATATTCTGCTTGTGCTAGCTCCTTTTTTTTTTTTTTTTTTTTTTTTTAATTGCTCATATTTTCAATATTAACCTGCAGTCTTCTTTTTGGCCAGGATGCTGTTTGTTTACAATGCTATCTTACATCTTACATTTATTGGAAAGCACCTTTAACGTTCTTGGTTTATTTTTGTTTTTGTTTTTTACACTGGGAACAAATAAGGTGAACTTTCATTTCTTCTGAAATGTTGTTCCTTTTCTGTGTGAGGCATGAGAAAGAAAACTTTTCATGACAATTGGGATGGTGAAGGGAAGGCTGTGCAACTGAGTAAAGTGACTATTTTCACGTCTATGATCTGATAACTTCTGTAATGTTTGTACTGTGCAGTTGCATTTTCACATTCATTATTTTTAAAATAAAATAAAAAAAAATGTGTAATAAGTAACTGTAGTAAGACAAGACCATATTTTGATTCCTAAAGTAATTAAACCTAAATCTCAAAATATAACATGAGGAAGAAACTTCCTAAGGGTTAAAATCTTAAAACTGAATTTGGAAGCAAACATCTGGAGTTTTGGCATTGTTTTGTTTTTAATTTTTGACCCCAGCCCTGAAGTGATTCCATGTGTAAATTTAAGATTTGGAAGAAATTATTTCCAAAAATGCTAAGATCCAGAGGTAACCTTTCTTCATACATATTTTTTCTTGATCTTTTTATTGAAATACACCAATTGTCTGTTTTGAGTCTATTTTCCAAGTCTAAACAGTGACTTTTTGCAGGGTTTCTGCAGGAGCTGACTTTTCCCATGCTGGGTTTTTGAGCTGCAGGATCTCCCGCACAGGAACCACCTGTCAGGCACAGGCTTTCATTAAATTCACCTTCCTGCAGTAAAACAGACTTCGCTACACCCAATTTATTAGTCACCACATGTAGCCTGAAGACTGTCTCATTTTCATTGCCATGAAGAGAACAGCAGTTTGTACCATTGTCTGTGTATGTTCCCTGAAATGCTTCATCCCTGCATCCTCTGCTGCCTGAGTGGGGAGTCCTGAAAGGCCTCCTCTCTTTCCTCGCCTTGGCAGGTCTCATGCTAAAATATTTGGAAAACAATTATGACAACATATAATATACTAATTGCAGATCAGGCAGGATTGCCTCTCATTCCTTAATATGTTTACCTGCTTCACATTGGCAGTATTTACTGTGTTTACCTGCCTCACACTGGCAGCATTGAGGGCTCTGCAAATATATATAAGAAGATAAAATCTTGGTTCCAGTGAAATCTCTTGACCTGACTGGGACCAAAACACCATCCAGATAATGACAGACTTTTCACCAGGTGGTGTGGGGACTTCTCCTTACCATGGCCACATTTTCAGGATTTCAGGTATTTCCATTTCATAAGTTTAACATAGTATTAAATCCTGTCTGGAGACAAGGATTATGTATACTCAGAAAAAAAGAATTTCAAAATTTGGTATTACCTAACCACAAAATGAGAGCCATGACAACAGAGAAGTCAATCAAGGAAGGGAGAAAAAGAAGGCAAAGAACATCCCCATGCCAGATTTAAAATAATCACTGTTGCTTATCCTCAAAAAGGTTTTGTGTCAGCTACCAAAGTTGTATAATCTGTTTTATTATGTATGCTGAAGGTCCATATTTTAGAGTTGATATATGTGTAAAAATGTTCTGTTGTAGTCTTCTTCAGCTTTTCATTTTTATGTCAGTATTCAGGGGGTCTTTCTCCCAGCTCCACACATAACCAGGAACCACCTGCTTGAAAACCAATTGGAATTAAATGCCTTAATGTTGTAAGTACACCATTATACAGTGGAGATTGCATATTTGTGATCTTAGTTGCTCCCCTTTAAAAGGTGTGAAACAAAATAATATAGGTGTCTCAGCTTTTGAGCTCTTACTTCTCCTTTCGAAAATATTCTTAAATCCATCTAGGAGCACAGCTAATTTTTCTCATAAATGCTTCATACAGGATGCATGTTAGTCTGTACTGCTCTGTAGCAGGTTGTGCTTTGAGGCATGATAGTTCTGTAGCTCTGTCATCAAACAGGCCTGAATCTGTTTGTTCGGCCTTTCTCTCCTTTTTCTTTTGAAGGAAGAAAACAGAGTTTCCAAGGTTGTTGTTATTCTTTACAATCTAAGTTTCTTTTGATTTCCCCTCTCATTAGCAGCTGATGTTAAGTAGAAAAAAACAAAAGAATAAATACCTGGGGAGAGACAACAATGCTTCAAATGCCTGCAAGTCGCTGTACTCCATAAGCAAAGCAAGGTAGCAATGTACTGTCTAGACACCTACCTAAAAAGATTGTGAGAATGTGGGGTTGTGCCAGCCATGGCAATAAGTCCAGCGAAGTAGGAGCAGGAGAGAAGTTTCCCACTGGGGGTCTGCACCATGGTGCAGTGCATGAATTAGGAAGAAGGTTTCTGCTCATTCCTTCTCTACTCAGCAGAGAGCAGTGGATTTCTCCAGGGGGTGTTTCAGGGGTCTGTTATGCTTGTGCTCTGTTTGTTGTACCCTCAAGCCACTGCTTAAGAGCCTCTCTCTGCTGGCCTTTGAGAGAGTTTACGGAGATTGCCCTCCTTGTCTGGGCACCGTGAACACTTCCTGAAGCAGATAGGATGCGTAGGAGGGAACCAGAGACTGACCCCCTGAATCGAACGGAGATGTTTCACAGAATGCAACCTAGATTTGTTTGCGAGTTTCTGGCTGTAAAAGGATGTTTCAGAATGGCATTGCTCACCTAGTCTCCTCGGTGGACTTGTAACAGCATTCAAGGCATAAAACATTTATTTTTCTCCCTGCCTTGCACTGCAGACTGCTCCTCAGCAAGGCAAAATAGCCCATAGACTTGTGTGCTGCCACAGCTAGACTGCCTCAGGTTTCCAAGCTAGTTTAGGTACTGTTACCCTTCACAGAGTTATGCATGGTGAGTACTCCATGGAGATGACACCTGAATTTACCTTTGCCAAAAGGCTGTGCTTCTAAAGCTGTGACTGGCTGAGGGGGACATGGAGCTAGTGGTTCCCAGTTCCTGGGCAAGAGGGTACTGG